GAGAACGTACAAACTCCACACAGAAATCGAACCCAGGCGCTTCTCTTGAGCGAGGCAGTGTGGTGGTGAGGCGGTGAGGCCTGTGAGTGGACGCATTGCTCCGACATGAAAGGTACCCGGTGGCGGTGTCGTGATTATTGCGCCCCCCCCACTCCCCGCCCCCCCCCCCCCCGCCGACAGAGATGGATCGCGTGGTGCCTTCGCCACGGGAGCCCCCGCCGCGCCCCCGGGGCTCCGGTAATTTTAGAGCGGTGCTGGGCTCGGTAATTTTGGCTCGTGCGTGCGTGTGTATTTTTAGGGGCGTGCGTGCGTGCGTGCGTGCGTGGGGGCACGGCGATTGTCGGCAGGGCACTGGGCAGGTGGAACCTCCTCCCCCTTGAGGTGGACTCAGCCTCGCTTTTGCAACGAGAGGCACGGGGTGCTGGAGGTCGATGAGCCGGCGTGCGCGGTGCGGGCCACCAACGCAGCAGCAGCCGTTGCCGCTGCAGCCGCCGCCGCGATCGATTCCCAAAGCTCGCCACGCACGCTGACTTTCTCCCATTCGTTCCGCGTGCTGTCTAATGGGATAACAGCTCCCCCCCCCCACCCCACTCGAGGCGTCTACATTCACCCCCTTGTGCACCGTGTCGGCCTGCATAGGTGATCGCTAACAGCACTTGCCCCAGCAACCTATGTAGGTACACGGGGGCAGCTTTGTTCCCTTGTGCACTACATCGGCAAGTGGCCTCGGAAGTGCACCTCGCCTGGCACGAGCGCGGTGGTGACGTCACTGCCACCAGGTGGCGACTGGCTGCTGCTCCTGCTGCTACTGTTGCTGTCCTGTTGTGTATTGCCTCTCCAAACAACACCTGGGATGTTTTCATTCATTCTCCTTGTTATTGGCGTGTGTGTCTGATTACTGTATCTCTGTGCATGTTTGCGTGTGCGTGTGTCTGTTGCTCTCCCTTCTCTCTCTTCCTCTACGCATTCACCCGTCACCTGACATGACCCAATGCCCTCCTCCATCTCCCTTTCTTCCTCTGCCTCCCATCTCATCGCCATCCATCTCCCACCCATCCTCACCTCCCTCCATCTTCCTCCCATGTCCCTGCCTCCCTCTGTCCCTCCCATCACCCTCCCTCCAGCTTCCTCCCTCCACCCCTCCCTTCTCCCTCCCTCCCTCCCTGCCTGCACACCATTTGCCAGCACGCATGTATCACCTCGCTTGAACACACACGTACACACACGCGCACGCACACACGTACACACACGCGCACACACTTACATACGCACGCTGCACGCTCTCTCGCAGATATGCACACATGCACGCTGCACGTACACAAACAAAGACCAACATCCGCTATATCGTCTTAAGAGAATGTTGGTGGGTCTGCTGTGAGTGAGCTTCTTGAAAGCCAACATGGATGGCCAGTGCCCCGCCAGGCCGCTTTGTCTCCCCAGCACCGATGTTGACATACCACACCACGTACACATATAAAGCCTAGGGGAGGCCCAGGACTGGTTCAGATATTAATCACCGATGTTGGCCGTGAGCAGAGATCAGACTCAGGTCGCCGGGTTCGTAGTGCAGTGCACTAAGCCTCTGTGCTACCGGTCCCCGTACGCATATACAAGACAAAAGACAAAGATCCTCCGTATAGCCTAAGCAAACTGTTGGGGCAAGTACTGTTAGCGAGCACCTATGAAGGCCGAAACGGTGCATGAGGAGGTGGGTGGCAGCACCACGCCAGGCTGCCTTTGTCTCCCCAGTGGCGATGTTTCCACCTTTCACCAGGTACAGGCTAGAGAAGATGTGGGCTGATGTGGTACACAGGAGTATATGGAGTTGAGTAGACGATGGAGGAGGCTCGGAGGCTCGTGAAGAACGCTGCTGCTGGGCAGTTGGAGGCAGTCGCCTTCCAACAACAACGCAGGGCAGAGGAGCGACGCTCACAACAACAAGCGGAGCGCTGGGCAGCTAAAATGCAACAAGTTGGCACAGTGGGGGAACAGGTGGTGCGTCTGCCAGTCATCTTACTCATTAGCTCATGGAACCTGGGTCTGTCCCAAGACCTCCTGCCAGCGAGCCTTCGACACTTCACGTGGCCTCAAAGTGCACCTCGTCTGGTACAAGCGCTGTGGTGATGTCACCGCCACTTCTTGGTGGATGCCGGCTGTTTTTGTTGTCCGTGTATGTGTGTCCATGTGTGCAGTAGTGTAGTGGTTAGCGCACCGCGCTACGAACCTGGCGACCCGGGTTCGATTCCCGCTCACGGCCAACATCTGTGACGATTATTTGAATCGGTTCTGGGCCTCCCTTAGGTCGACTCAGCTTTAAATGAGTACCTGATGTGTGTAAACATCAACACTGGGGAGACAAAGGCGGCCGGGCGTGGTGCTGGCCACCCACCCCCTCGTGTGCCTTGCCGCCGTTCATAGGTGCTGCTCCGCTAACAGCATTTGTCCCAACGCTCCGTAAGGCTACAGCGGGGGTCTTTGTGTGTTTAATATGACCTTGAATGAAGGTCGCTGCTTTCGGATGACCCAAGCAGCTGGGAGCGCGCACAATCATCATTCACAAACACACGGCAGAAAATCATCTGTCACGCACACACGCGCACGTTGTCGCACGCAGCCCCGCGCACGCAGTCGCACGTACGGAGGCACGCACGCACGCACGCATGTGCTTGTGCACACGAGACAAAGATCCCCCGTGTAGCCTACGCAGACTGCTAAGGCAAGTGCTGTTAGTGAGCACCTTTGAAGGCCAGAATGGCGCACGAGGACGTGGTGTGACCAGCACCACGCTCGGCCACCTTTGTCTCTCCAGTGCGTTTGATTACCGACCGAGAGCAGATCCATGAATAGCCCTGAGCACACATTGAACTTGGGTCGCTGGGTGCGTAACGCAGTGCGCTTACCACTGCACTAATCATGCGCACGCACACATGCATTCGCATACAGTGACGCACACAGTCAAGCACACAGTCACACATACAAACACAAAACTCACGCAGTCACACAACAGCAACAACAACCGCCATTCGCCACTAAGTGGTGGTCAAGTCACCACAGTTGTGCTAGGTTAGGGGCACTTTTAGGCGACGTGACGTGTCGAAGGCTCGCTGGCATGAGGTCACGGGACAGACCCAGGTGCCGTTGGTTGTCCGACTGAGATGACTGGTAGATGCACCAACTGTGCCAACTCGCGGTTTAGCCGCCCGGCGCACCGCTCGTTGTCGTGAGTGTTGCTCCTCCGCCTTCCGTTGTTGTTGGAGGACGACTGCCTCCAACTGCCCAGTAGCAGCGTCCTTCACGAGCCTCCTCCATAGAGGCCGATCTTGACACACAGTCACACATACACACGTGCAGCCACACACAACAAAGATACATACAAAGATCCCCCGTATACCCTGAACAGACTTGTGGAGCAAGTGCTGTAAGCGAGCACCTGCTAAGGGCCGACATTGCACACGCCCTGGCCTGGCCGCCTTTGTCTCCCTCACACCAGGTACACACACACAGTCGTAGACACGTGCACGCACGCAGTCAAAAGCGCGCACAAGCGCACACAGTCAGACACGCACGCTAATTTGTTTCCATGACGATCGCTGGGAAGCAATTCCAGCGTGGTTTCTTTCTGCCCTGAGCTCCTCCGAGCTCCTCCGCGTGCGAGCGCCCTTCCATTGCTGCACCCCGTGCGGGCGACTGTGTGCAGGAGTGCGTGCATGCATGCGGGAGCGTGTGTGTGCGTGTGCGTGTTTATCAGATTTATGTATCTATCTGTGTGGGTGTGTGCGCTTGCACGTGAGAGTGAGCACGTGTGCCCCGCTGCTTTTGTGCGCGTGTGTGTGCACGAGCAAGTGCCTGTGTATTTGTGTCGGGCCCGGTGGGGAGCAGTATTGTAGCGGGTTAGTGCGCTGCGCTACGAGCCCGGCGACCCGAGTTCGATTCCCGCTCACGGCCAACACCGGTGGTGACGATTATCTGAACCGGTGCTGGGCCTCCTCTAGGTCGACTCGGCCTCAAATGATTACCCGGTGCGGTGTGTAAACGTCGCCAGTGGGGAGACAAAAGCGGCCAGGCGTGGTGCTGCTCACCCACCCCCTCGTGTGCCGTGCCGGCCTTCGTAGGTGCTCGCTAACAGCACTTGCCCCAACAGTCTGTTAATGGGCATATGGGGTAATCATTGTCTCTGTCGATTATTTGTGCCGGGGGGGGGGAGGGGGGGGGGGTTGTGCGTGCGTGCATGTGTGTCAAGACGCAGAGACGGTAACGCTGAGAGAGACAGAGACGGAGAGATACAGACACGGGGACAAAGGGAGACGGAGACATATGGAGACACGGCTCCTATCGCTCGCCAATTAACCACGAATTGGATGTCTTGTTGCAAAGGTTTATAAAAAGACAGCGTCTCTATCACCACCAAGCATATCGTGATCTTGAGTAATTATGTTGATGACAGGAATACCGCTAGCAGGGCTGTGAAACAAATCACCTGGGACACGCCCAATCTCATCAATGCTCTGAAGCTAAGCAGAGTTGAGCCTGGATGGTGCTTGGGTGAGAAACCACGATGCATAGCATGTGCTATAGGAAGCTGACGCTGTGGGGCTACGCTGTGGGCAGCAGAACGCGGCGCAGAAATATATTTTGCGCTGTACCCGTGCGCACGGTGTTTCCGCTCGCCAGTAGTAGGTCGCAAGTTCGGCATTGTCCCTGCACGGTTGGTGGAGTTGGTGGTCGCGGTTTGTGTGGATGATGGCAGCACGTCCGTGCCACGTGGAACGTGGAGTTGCGCCGAGCGATTCCGGGTTGTGCGCGCGGAGCCCCCAGCCGGTCTCGTCTGAATGCCTCTCCCGCTCGCACCGCACGCACCGTATGATACGGATTGACCATTCGCGAGGACGGATCCAGCGTGGACGAGACACTGATGTCCCTGTGCTTTCCTGCCCTTGCGTCTCTCCGTGCGTCCATGTGTATCCCGCCCCCCCGCCCCCCCTGCCCCCCGCGCGATGCAGAGAGGCGACACCGTGACCACGCGGTGACGGGTGCCGCCACGCAGCCTCCGCCACCCCCCGCTGCTACCGCCACCTCCACCACCTCCGCCGCTGCTTCCGCTTCACGCTCGGCTCGCGAGCTGCGGGAGCGACAGCGACGCTCCTCTCGTGCCGGGTAAGACCCCCCCTCCCTTCCCCCACCCCGCGTTTGTCCGTCCGTGGGTTGTACAGCAAGTAGGATGGCTGCCCCAGGCACGAGATCGGTGAGCATCGGTGAGCTGGGCATGGCGGTGGTGGCGCTGTGTGCTCGGCCGATGGCACGCTCGAATTTAGCATCGTGGAAACGTTGGAGCGGTTAAGCGGGATGGAGGTTAAAGTGGTTCGTTGTGGCGCGGTGTTTTGCGGTGCAGGCCATTGGTACGGGTGCGGCCGGGAGACCGAAGTCGCAATGCCAGCGCCTCCCAGCCGCCCAGGTCATCGGACAAGCAGTGGTGAGGCTGGGTCACGGGTTGGGGGTCACGGGCAGTAGTAGTTGGTTGGCGGGGTGAGGGTCCGCGGCGGTGCGCTGCTGCGGGGACGGTAAGCCGCTCGTCACGGGCCGCCTGTTGCAGATGCTCGCGGTTCACTCGCGGTTCAATTCCAGTGGCCGCCCTGCTCATTACCGCGTTGTTGTGTAGTAACTGTCATCGTACTGCCCGCCGTCTGGATGTTGGAAAGTCCCCCCCTGATGTTAAGAGTTGGCCATTGCGTGCCGTCGTCACAGTCCAAACACGACCTGCAAATGACTGGATTGGGATCACACGGATCACACACACAGTTTCAATCTGTGTGATACGCACAACAGCTACCGATGATGATGATGATGACGCGGCGTGCGGCGATGACAGTGACACTGCTGGCGGCGATGATGATGATGAATAACCCCCCTTTCCCTTGCAGCACCAGCGCGCCCATGCCCATCGTGAGTCTACAGAAACTCGACAGCGCCACCACTCCCCTGCGCACCACCACTACCACCACCTCTTCCTCCTCCTCCTCCTCCACCACCTCCTCCACCGCCACCTCCGCCAATACCTCCTCCTCTAGGCCGCCGCCTCCGTCTGCGCCACCGCCCCCCTCCTCCGTCGTGCGGAACTCTTCATCGCTCGCTCCCAAACAACCCACGGCGCCAGCGACCAGGCCAGCACCATCATCGTCATCGCCACCCTCCACACCTCCACCACCGCCGTCGTCATCTTCATCATCATCAAAACCACAGGGTGGCGGAGGCGGCGGCGGCGGCGGTGGGGGTACAAAGACGCAAGCCAGGCCCGAAGGCCCCAGGGTGAACTCGCTTTCTGCTGGTAGCGGCGCCACCTCTTCATCGTCGTCGCCGTCGTTGTTGTTGTCTTCCGTCAAATTGGGATCGTCGAACTCGGTGTCGCTGCCGGTGCGGCAGAACTCTACCGCTGCTACCTCATCGGCCGCTCCCCCTGCGCCGCTCTGCGGGTCTCCCGTTCCTCCTCCGCCTCCTCCTCCTCCTCCTCCTCTTCTTCCTCCTCCTTTGCTGCCACCGCAAGCAGCGGGCGGAGGCAACGGCGGTGGCCGGCGTCGCCCCCCGCCGGCGTCTCCCTCGCTCCGAGCCGGAGCCGTCGCCAACAGCAGCAGCAACAACTACCACCACCACAACCACCACCACAACAACAGCAACAATAACCACCACAACCACAACCACGGCACCGGAGCCAACGCGGCCGCGGTCGTCCCGAACGGGAAGGGCCCCGCCGCGGAGATCGCCCGGAGGCGGGAGGACGGGAGGAGCGTCCCGCACCGCAAGGCGGCGCTGGGTAATGCGCATGCGGGCGCCCGGGCACGGTCGTGCGTGCAGTCATCTCCCTCTTCGCCTCTCACTGCTACCCTCTGCAGCCGTGCGTGTGGACTCCCTTCATCGCTGCCTTGCTCTTGAGTGGGTCGGTGGGTGGGTGAGTGGGTGGGCGGGCGAGTGGCGAGTGAGTGAGCGGGTGAGTGGTGAGTAGGGGCGCCGTGGTGGCCGCGATGTGAACTCCCTCGCCTGGTATGCAGGAGGTCCTGGGTTTGATCCCGACCCTGACGCCTGCTGCTGTATATTTGGAGTTTGCATGTCTCTGTCCTCGTGGTCGAGTGGATTTTCCTCTGGGTCCTTTGGTTTTTCCCACATTTAGAAACATTTGGCTGCTATACATTTCCACCTGATAATTCACTTCGTTGGGCTATCATTTGTGGCCAGGTCGCTTTTGAATAAGAGCGGTATATCTCAGTGCGCCTTACCTGGTCAAATAAACATTGTTTAAATCGTTTTTAGTAATAGATCAGTGAATGTGTGTGTGTATGTTGAACTGCTTTCTCACCTATACATCACCAACTGTGCTAATCGGGGGTGCGAATGCGGGAGTGTTTGAATGGGTAAGTGAATGGATGAGTGGGTGGGTAAGTGAGTGCGTAAGTAAGTGGGTGACGAAGTGAGTGGATTAGTGAATGGGTGAGTGAGTGCTCGGTCAAGTGAGTGAGTAGGTAAGTGAATGGGCAAATGCGCAGTTGGGTAAGTAAGGAGAGGGTGAGTGAGTGGGTGAGTGAGTGGGTTAGATGTTTGCTACACTATGGCTACAATACCAATGCATGTCGCCGTCATTGCTGCTGTCGTAGCCCCAGAGTTTATTTAACGCGAACGCTTTGCGGATTTACAAAGCGCGGGAACACGACAGCGGCTCCAAGACGTGAAACGCGCGAGACCAGCGCCGCGAACGGTGACGACCGTCCGCAAATACGCGACGTCGCGTCGCCCGCGACGACGACTCCGTGTTCCTGACTTTGTCCCCGTTTTGCGTTCTCCCCGCGGGCGGCAGCGCGAGAGCCGGACGCCGGGCGGCACCGTGGCGGCACGGACGTGGAGAGCGGCCGGCGGCCCTGCCTGCGCTCGCTCGCCTGCAAGGTCAGCAAGCGCGCGGTGGTGCACCGCCGGCGCGCGGCCCCCGCGGTCGCTCTGCCGATCAAGTCGGTCGATGAACGTTTTTGCGTTCGTACGTCGGCCCTCAGGACCGGAATCGCAATCGCATAACCAATGCAGGTTACGCGATCGCGGAAGCAAAGTTTGTGGGGAGTAACAGCCATTTTATATACTTTTTAGGCATAAGCATTTCCGAAATAACACTTGCTACCCAGGAACAAACATTTTGTTCGTGTAATTCGGCAAGGCCACAGCTCCTTGCGTGTCGAATTAACAAGGGTTTGCTGTAGATGAATTCCGTGACGTCACTTCGTTCCATGACGTCGCAGAAACGTCGTTACCAGAGGTACATACGACAGAGGAGGCATCGGGGGATGCGTTACAGGACATCGGAGGAGGGAGGGCTACAAGGGGAAAACATTGCCGCACCGTAGCCTTCACTTTGCTTGGTTGAAGGTGGTCGTCAAGGTGGACTGCGCCAACCCCTAACGAATGTGCCACTTCACCTTTTTGAACGGCTTCGCATGATTTGTGAAGATATTTTCGTAAAAACATTTTCGTGCAAAAATATGGGGACCCCAAGGGTGGCCCCCTCCATGGCCGACTTCGTTATAAAGGAGCTGCTTCTTTCCCAGAGGATTACTTAACCACAGCCAGCTCTACATTCATTATTATCCTCCATTAAATCTTCATAAAACATCTGCCAGCCATACATTCCGTGATATTATTTAAATTATTTTTTGAAGACTCTGGACGGACAGTCGTTTCCCTTTATCCGACGAAGGGAAAGCCCACAGAGTGAGAGCCGTGTGAGCAAAGCAACGTGCCCCAGATGTTTGTGGGTCTCGCCCTGGGGATGCGATCCCTCGTCAGAAGATCAAGGCAGTCCGGAGATGGCAGCAGGGACAGAGACGAGCAGTCGTGAGTGTAGTAAAACACAATGTGGATTTTTATATTCGAATGAACGTCAGTCAGAAAGGTTGCCCGAGTCGGAAATTGAACCCAGGCGCTTCTTGCTGTGAAGCCCCAGTGTCACCACTGCGCGTCCCCTGTCGCCCTAGAGGGTCCAAATGTGTCCGCATCTGGAGACGGACGCTCTACAGGACACAGAGGTCACGTTTATCTTATAGAATCAGAATATTTATTTAATCGGAATCGGAATATTTATACTGCAGTGGCAGCTATAGGTCTGTCTCTATGCGAGTCTATGGGTCCTGTGCGAGTCTATGGGTCTCTGTGTGAGTCTATGGGTCTCTGTGTGAGTCTATGGGTCTCTGTGTGAGTCTATGGGGAGAGGCAGTCGGTCATAGGCAGTGTGGTGAACAAGGGGCAGGGGAGTCGACAGTGCGGATGGCGGGGAGAAAGGAGTTCCAGACTGGGGGGAATTATTGTGCGATGACGTCTCTCTCGTCCCGCTAACCCCGGCTCTTCTTGTGTCCTCTCACCGTGCCGGTGCCACGCACAGACCCCCGCCTCACCGGGCCAGCGCCGCTCGGCTCACTCGCGCCGCAAGGGCAACGGCACCGCCGCCGACGTCGCGGCGACGCCGGCCCCGGAGCACCGCTCGCGCTCGCACAGCCGCGACGGAGCCCGGCATGGCGCCGCGCCGCCCGGGCCCTCGCCGGCGCCGCCGCCGCTGCTCGCGCCGGCCGCCGGAGCCGGGTGGCGCGGGGAGGACGTCTTGACGGTGCAAGCGGACGGGGCGGGAGAGGATTGGGCGGGCGCTGGCGACGGAGTCAACGCTTTGGCCAAACTCCGCTCGTTCAATCCCAGGTGACGCTTCGGGGTTCGGTGAGGGTGTGGTGGTGGTAGTGAGGATTGAGAGAGCGCGGTGAGAGGTGTGCAGTGTTCGGTGTTTGTGTACGGGTAAAAAAGATAAAGGAGCAGCCCTGCAATTGCACGAGAGGGAGCTCTGGCCTACGATTCCGTGCTGCACAGATGCCTTGCAAGAGCCAGGACTGCCCACGCGTAACCCCGCCACGCATTGCCTGCCGACAGACTAACTGCTGCGTGGAGAGAGGCGGCGTGGGGATTTGAGCAACGGGCACCATTGTTTTAACGGCCCTTCCGGGATATTGGGGAGGTGGACTCTGGGAGAATGTCAGCATGCAGGCTGTGTGAGAGGGGCTGCTCAGGGTGTGAGGCGCATCCATATCCCATGGATCGTGCGCGCCCCTTTGCTGCACCACCCATAGCGGCCGTGCGCGGTTTAGCGGCCGCCGCGGTTGCCGTGGCGGTTCCCTGGTCCCCCGGCTTGGCACCGCCCCCCCCCCCCCCCCCAGCTCACTGGCGCCGCTAAAAGCGTTGAGCTGGGCCCCCGGGGAGCGGGGCCACGGAGAACGGTGCCGAAATAACCAGCGGCAGCAGCTCCCCGAGCGAGACGGAGGTGTGTGCAGAGAGCGAGAGAGTGTGAAATGAGTGAGCGAGCGGGTGGGTGTGGGTGAGTTTGAGTGGGTGAGTTTGAGTGGGTGAGTTTGAGTGGGTGAGTGCATGTGCGAGTGTTAGCACTGGTGCTGGCCTTCAAAGGTGCTTGCTAACAGCACCTGCCCCGAAAGTCTGTTGAGGCTACTACACGGGGGATCTTGCGAGGAGGTGCGTGAGTGTGTGTGGGCGTGCTGCGCTATGAACCCGGCGAACTGGGCAGTGCTTGTAACTTACTCCGATTCAGTCGAGAGCAGCATTATCTTTTCATCAACTGCGTAACGTTGTGTCAAAGCTTCCAGGTCTGTCGCTCCACACGAAGCTAAATGCCTTTCACGGCAACAGTTGTGCCCTCCCTTCTCTGTTTGAAGAAATGTGGAGCCCTCTAAAGGAACATCTGCGCCCGTTTGAAACATTCAGGATAGCCTGCCTATGGTCCATGCTGGGTTTAGCCAAATTGGATTATATGAGGAGCTTAAAGATCCTTGAAAGATCTAGACACGGTCTGGGTCATGTAGCCCGCATTCCCAGCCACTGCATGCCCCCAAGTAGCTTCTGTTTGACCGGATAGAGCGGGCTAGAGAAGAGATTAGCTGATAGGGTGCAGAAGGATGCGGAGCTGATCGGACCCGCCGAAGGCTGGTGTCAGTGGTGTCAAGATAAGCTTTTGTTGAGGAGGCTCATGAAGGAGGTCAGAAGAGGTCAGAACAGTTGCCGTCCAGCAGCAGCGGAGGTCAGAAGAACAGCGAGCGGAGTGCCGGGCAGATAAAATGGAGTGAGTTGTCACAGTGGGGAGCACAGGTGGTGCATCGCCCAGTCATCTCGGTCGGTCAACCCATGGCACCTGGTTCTATTCCGTGAACTGTCAGCGAGCATTCGACACTTCACGCAGCCTCAAAGTGCACCCCAGCTTGCCACAAGTGCCGTGGTGGCGTCACCGCCACCTGGTGGCGAACGGCGGTTGTCGTACGTCTAGATTGTGCGTCCGCCGCAGCCGCGGTCTCACACGTACGTGTGTGTGTCTGTGTGTGCGCGCACCCATCGGTGACCTCCACAGGTCCCACACCCGTAACCTCCATGCGGTAACAACGGTGGCGGCTCGCGGTGGCAGCGGCGACGGCGGCGTTTCAACCTGGCCGTCCCCGCCACCGCAGCAGCAGCAACAACCGCCGGCGTCGTCGTCATCATTTGAGAGTGGCGAGGCTGCCCCTCCACCGCCCTTCTACGTGGTGGGGGGCAGCCCCTGCCCCCGCGGTAGCGGCGCGGGGTGGCACACGTCCAGCGACGAGGGCGGCTGCCCCGACGAGCCGAACGGAGGGGCGAGCGGCGGGGTCGGCTCAAGCGGCGGTATCGGCGACTTGGGGAGCGAGGGACTGGTGCTTGCTAGACACCCGGCACCGCTGGGGGTGAGTGTGGTGGGCGCACACGCCACGCGCGTATTGATACACAAAGACAAAGATCTCCCGTATAGCCTCAATAGACTGTTGGGGCAGGTGCTATTAGCGAGCACCTATGAAGGCCGGAACGGTGCACAGGGGGGTGGGTGGCCAGCACCACGCCCGACCGCCTTTGTCTCCCCAGTGGCGATATTTACACACCGCACAAGGTACTCATTTGAGGCTGGGTCAACCTAGGGGAGGCCCAGGACCGATTCAGATAATCGTCACTGGTCGTGGCCGTGAGCGGGAATTGAATTCGGGTCGCCAGTTTCGTAGTGCAGCGCTCCCCACACACACACACGTATAGATACACACACGTGTGTGTACAGATACACGTGTACACATACACACACACACCTGCGTACAAATAGAATTGCTCTATACAGGAGGTCATCGAAGGCGTCTGACTCTTCAGCTTTGCCTGCATCCCTCCACTGATGTTCGTGTTCAGTCGGGCCGTAAGCCGCCATCTCCACAACCACTCCTCGCCTGATTTCCCACACCTCGCCGCCACGCTCCCACACAGCCTTCATGCTTCTGTTCAAAAGAAGATCCGGTTCCCTGTTTGGCAGTTTCCTGCCCGCATTGGAGGACTGTCCACCCCTCGTGGTGACTCTGCCCCTGCACCTCTCCCACCGCCCGCCCCCCCCCCAGGTGTGCACGTTTGGCGCGCGGCAGCTGTCCCCCGGGCTGCACTCGTTCTCGCGCACGTGGGGTCACTTCCGCGTGGCCTTCTCCTGCATGGTGGAGCGCCACCTGAGCACGCACATGTGGAGGTGAGCGCCGGCCGTCGCCGTCCCTCCGCCGCCCCCTCGCGCCGATCCTCGCCGCTCTTCGCCGCCCCTCGCCCCAAAAGTCCTCACCACGGCTCTCCCCTCTCCCCGTCCCGACCCAGGAGAATCCCCGCGGCGTGCGAGCCCTTGCCGCCCACGATGCCCGTTCCAGCCGCCGTCGGCACCGCGGCCGCCGCGTCCTCCTCCTCTCGGCCCTCCCCGTCTCCTGGCAACTGCGGCAAACGCGTCGCCACGGCGAGCGCCGTTCCGACTCCGTCCCCTCCAGCGCCGCGCCGCTCGCCCGCGCCGCGCAAACCCGGCAGGTGCCGCCCCCGGCCGGGGCGGCCGGCGAGCCGCGAGGCGACTCCGCCGAACCCGGGCAGCGCCGCCAAGAAGAAAAAGTGCAGCGTCGCCGCCAGCGTCGCCCCCGCCGCGGCCGCCGCGCCCTCGTCTTCCGCCTCTTCCTCCTCCTCCTCGTCGTCGGCCGCGGCCCCAGGGCCGGACGCCCCCAAGCGGAACTGCGTAGCTCTGTCGAGCGGCGCCGACTCGGGATGGGTGGCGGCCGCGGCGCCGGCGGCCGCGGTGCAACCGCCGCCGTCGCGTCGGCGCAGTTCGCCCTCACCGTCTTCATCGTCCTCCTTCTCGTCATCGTCCTCCTCGTCGTCCTCCTCGTCGTCTTCGTCATCGTCGTCGGGGTCCTCGTCCTCATGCTCCTCCTCGTCGTCGTCGGCGGCGTCGTCGCCGCGCCACCGCGGTAGCGGCGGCGGAGCCGGCGGCGGCGGAGCCGGCGTCCGAAGCGGCGGGCACCGGCAGAGGGCGGGTGCCAACGCCGCCGCCACTCCCCCGGCAACGGCCGTGGCGGCGACACGTTCGCCGGCGCTCCCCAGCAAGCAGCACCATCGCCATCACCACCACCATCACCACCACCACAACCGCCACCAGCAGCCGCAGCAGCCGCAGCAGCCGCAGCGGAACCAGCCCTCCGCTGCCAACCACGCAAACTCGCACACACCGCCCTTCAAGCCGCCTGAAGGCAAGAAGGGGAAGGGCGGCGGCGGCGGTGGCGGCGGTGGCGGCGGTGGTGGCGGTGGCGGCGGAGGCGGAGGCGGAGGCGGAGGCGGCGGCGGCGGCGAAGGCGGCGGAGGCGTGGAGGGCCGGGCGGCGGGCCCGACCCTGAAGGCGAACAAGGTGGCGAAGGCGGTGGACATGGACTGTGTCCACGCCAGGACGCACGGAGCGCGGGGCCACAGAAGCAGCGAGAGGACGCTCGTCGGGCGGCACGTGAGGGCGCACGCACGCAAAGTTCCAAGCCGAGTAGTCGCGTGTTCTTGAAGCGCGTGTCCGTGTGCGCGCGTTGACGTGTTGGGAGCCTCGTGAATGCGTGCCGGTTTTACAGAACGCGCTTTCGTTTTGACAGGACAAGAGCACCGGCCTGGCGTCTCCCGGCCGGCAGAGGCCCTCCTCCACGCCGAGCCCCCTGCACCGGCCCGTACGACCTCCCCCCCCCCCCCCCTGCACCGCCCTGTCCCCCCCCCCCCCCCCCACGATCAGATTTAATTGGGATCACGGGCACAGCAGCAATCGCGGCCTACTGGCAGAGTAATGCCGGCTTGCTGGCCAGGTTGCACCACACAGGGAATGGGGGGGGGGGGTGTCATTTTAAACACGCGTTGAGGATACGGTAGAATGGAGGGCGGCTTTTGTACAACACGACTCATTGTGTTATAAAGAAGACATTCATCGCTTGCTTTTGTTTGCTCAGCACAGTTGTGTACTCCACGTTTGGGTCACTGCACTTCATGTTGAGTTTTTGCAATGCACGTTCTGTTTGTGCTGCACCTTGAGTCATTGTTACTGCGCGTTGAGTCACCTGTTGACGTGTATTTTCCTGTCGTCAGGCGAGGTGACGATGGCCGTTTGGCACAGACGAGGGAAGGAAAAACACGACGACTAAAAACGCGAAGCAACCGACGGAGCAGGCGCCGAACGGAGCAGGCACCAAACGGCGGCTCCCCGGACAGCCCTGCCCGGCGCCAAGTCACTGCGGGACCCCGCTTTAAACCCCCCTGCTGACTGCGGGCCCACCCACCCACCCCACCAAACCATCGCTCCCGGGGTCGTCTTCATCGCTGCCCGTTTTCCACCAAAAAAGAAATGAACACGAACTCGCGGACGTGGCTGCTGCTGCTGCTGCAACGGGGGGGGGGAGGGGAGGAACGGCACGTTGGGGGAATTTCGCAAATTCAAGAAGATGCCCCGGTGGTGGGGAACTTTTGGCTGGTTTTACAGACTCGCGCGAAACACAAGTCCAAAGATGCACTCGGCGCGACACGACCCCCGCCCAGTCCGAAGCCTGCCGCCGTCGGCGTCGGCGCCACCTCCCGGCGAGCCTCGCGCCGTGGCAGAGGGTAAAGTAAAAAAACTGGGACGTTGCAAGCAAGTGTTACTCCGACGCAATAACGGGGGGCGGGGCGGGGGGGTGGGGACCTCGAGGGGAGTTCACGCGCACCGCTCTGCAGGGAGGCCGCCCGCGTCTTTCTTTTTCTGTTTGTTCTTCTGTCGCGAACATATTTCCCGTCGGGTCGCGCTCGATTTTTTTAAAAAGAAACAAACTTCTTCACCTGCTGCCTGGGGGCGGAGAGCAAACCCGGAGGAGGTTTCGGGGCAGAACTGGAGTCCGTCGCGCTCGCATCGGGGGAGATCGCGACGCTCTTCTCGGTCGTTCTCCGTTCGCTCGGCGACAAACTCCGAGACGCCTTCCTACCCCGCGCGCCCCGTTTTTTTCATCGTTTAACTTATCGCGTTTTTAATTTCCAGTGTAAATTTCGATCTCAACAGGCTTGTACGAATTTTATTTAATTTTGATTTGGGGGCCGATGGCCCTCGACTCTGCGAGTGTCGGCCGCTCCTGAGCTGCTACTAACGGTTTTCCTGCAGTCGACGTCTTTCTAACGTTTGAGCCAGAAAAATTAATTGTACTTTTTTTCTTTTCGCCGGTAGAAATTCGGGTGGCGGTGGGTGGGGGGGGGGGGACTCGAGTCGTGGACACTGGGTAATCGCGCTCACAAACGCACACTCACTCGCTCGCTCTCTCTCTCTCTCTCGCTCCTCTCTTATTTTTTTTTCGATCAAATCAGACTTTAATTCGTTGCAACAAAAAAATCGCAATACATAGTTGCTTCACGGGCATGAACAATAGCAATGAAATTCTAGGCAAAATAAAATCACGTTGTAACATGTTTCTAGCGAAGGGATCATAAAAGTAACGCAACATAATCATAATTAAAAATTATGTTTTAAAAAAAAAGTTAGGAGTCATTCAATAATTTTGAAGCCCTCAGATGCCCTGGCAAGCTGTGCCACACGCGACTTGCGTGGCACAAATGAACAAAAACACCACACCAATTAATCAACACGTCGCTCCTCTCTCTCGCTCCTCTCTCTTGCTCCTCTCTCTTTTGTTTTTACGATCAGTGGAAACAAGAAGATGCTTGGTGTAGTCGGCACTTTGCTTCGTTCATCATTTCGTATTTTTTTTTTACTTTGCTTTATTTAACCCTCTCTCGCTCACGCTCTCGCTCCCTCTCTCGCTCACTCTCTCGCTCACTCTCTCGGTCACTCTCTCGCTCACTCTCTCGCCCACTCTCTCGGTCACTCTCTCGCTCACTCTCTCGCTCACTCTCTCGCTCACTCTCTCGGTCACTCTCTCGCTCACTCTCTCGCTCTCTCTCGTTCTGCACGCAGCCCTTCTCGCAGTCCAACGGCCTCCGACGGGTAGCTCATAATTGCATGCAGAGCTCCCCGTCATCTGCCACTGAGCACACGGCCTCCTCCATCGCCCACTGCTCCTTGAAGGCCGGCACGGCGTGGGTCAGAAACGTGATTGGGATGCCCAACCTCTGGGACACCGCGATGAGGTCATTGACCAGGAAGATGCCGTCGTGGATGGTTCGTCCGGGGATGGTGTAGGACTGGTCCCTGTTTACGACTTGTGCAATCACCCCTTTCAGTCGCAGGGAGAGAGCCTTCGTCAATATTTTGTAGTCTGTGTTCAGGAGGGACACCGGACACCAGTTTTGTAGGTGCCTCAGGTCTCCATTTTTGGGAAGCAGAGTGAGCACCGCCCTCCAACACTGAGGCATCACCCCGGTGACAGAGGCTTCCTCCAGCACCTCTCTGTAGTCCTCCCGTAGGGATGGCCAAAAAGCGGCGTAAAACTCCCCTGTTAGCCCGTCTAACCCTGGGGATTTATTTGGGGCCAGACCTCTTGCAGCTGCGTCAAGGTCATTCCTGGTGAGCTTTTGCTCTAGCAGCTCTTTCCCGTCTTCCCCCAGGGTGGGTAGACCACTCCATGCCTCCGCCTGGGCCGCTCCCGATGTTTCTTCAGGAGAAAACAGGCTGCCGTAGAAGTCTCTGATGATGGTCGACTTCTGCTGGAGTTCGTGCGCCGGGACACCGTCACCATCAAAGAGGCACTCCATGGATTTGCGTCTCCCGTTCTGCCTCCCGAGGGAGTAGAAAAGCGGGGGTCCCGTGTCGAGGTCGGTGATGAGCTTCACCCAGGATCGCACAAACGCTCCCCTCGTCTGCTCCTCCTGTAGGCCTTTGAGACGCTCCCTATTCTCGTATTCTCTGAGAAGAGCAGGGTCACTGTCCTCGGCGAGACGACTCTCCAAATCGAGGACTCGTGCTTCCATGTCGGTGATGTCCGCGTTCTTCAGTCTGGCACAACAGCCTGGTGTGCACTTTTCCCATATCCCACCACTGGGCCAGCGAGTCGAACTGCGTTTTGGTTTTTCGCCAGAAGTCCTCGAATATTTCTATGATGGCGCCATCCTCCAGCAGCGAGTTGTTAAAATGCCAGTGGGACGCACCCTCGCGGGCCCTCTCCAGCCTGACACGGAGCACGATGAGGTTGTGGTCCGTGAAGGGTGCCGCCCTGATGCCAGACGTTATGGCGCACGTCACAAAGCTCTTAGAGATGTAAAATCTGTCGAGCCTGGACTGTGTCACCGAGCCATCGCGCCTCGTCCTCGTGTACGTGAACTGGCGTCGGCCCGGGTGATGTATGCGCCACACATCCACCAAGGCGGCATCCTCCAGTGGTCCCTGCATTTCCTTCTTCGGCCCAACTCCCCCCGGCTGCCTCCCCAAACGATCCAGGGCGCCGATTGTGCAGTTGTGGTCGCCACCCACAATCACGCACTCGTCGTCCGGGATCCCAGCCAGGTGCCTCCTCAGGAGGTGCAGGAACGGGATCTTCTCCTTGTTGGTACACGTTCAGTAGGTGGGTGGTGACATCGCCCATCCTGACCGTTACCGCGAGCAGCTTTCCCTTCACTTCGGTCTGGGTGATGAGCTTGGGATGTAACCCTTTAGCAAACAGGGTCGCGACTCCTCTCTCTCGCTCGCTCGCTCGCTCCTCTCTTTAATTTTTTTTCGATCAAATCAGACTTTAATTCGTGCAACGAAAAAATCGCAATACATAGTTGCTTCACGGGCATGAACAATAGCAATGAAATTCTAGGCTAAATAAAATCACGTTGTAACACGTTTCTAGCGAAGGCATCATAAAAGTAACGCAAGAGAATCACAATTAAAAATGATGTTTAAAAAAAAAAAGTTAGTTAGGAGTCATTTTAAATGGTGCTCAATAATTCTGAAGCCCCCAGATGCCCTGGCAAGCTGTGCCACACGCGACTTGCGTGGCACAAATGAACAAAAACACCACGCCAATTACTCAACACGTTGCTTCTCTCTCGCTCCTCTCTCTTTTGTTTTTACGATCAGTGGAAACAAGAAGATGCTCGGTGTAGTCGGCACTTTGCTTCGTTCATCATTTCGTAATTTTTTTTTTACTTTGCTTTATGTAACCCCTCCTCTCGCTCACGCGCTCACTCACTCTCTTTCGCTCCTCTCTGACGCTCGCTCACCCACTCACTCGCACAGGCAGGTCCCTGTTGCTTTCTAGAATCGCAGTTGGGGCCAAAATAAAAAAAACGCTCGCAAAGATATCTCTGAACGAGAAACGACGGCGGTCGCTGCGGCCGGTCCACGAAAGCTCTTCGCTGCGACGAACGAACAAAAGACTCCCAACCCCCCCCCCCCCCCTCGTGCTTCGATGGGATTCGCCTTCGTTTGTGCTCGTCGGCGCTCCCCAAGCGTCGATGTGTTTGCTGTCGGTCCCCGCGGGTGCCTGCGCACGCGGCGTCAAGTGGCATTATGGCGCGAGTGGAGGTTTCGCGAAGCTGAGCGTCACGAGAAATCGCACTCGTGGCGGGAGACGGTACAGCAGTCGCTTTGTTTTTTTATAAATTATTGTTGTTGTTGATCGAGTCACGCACACTAAGGCAGGAACGTGAACGCTGCGTTCCTCCCAGCGTTGTGTCACGGTGCAGGTTGACCGGTTTACCCAGGCCCCGTGACGATTCACGCACACAGCCCCCCCCCCTCCCCCCCCATCTCCAAGCCATTCCATTCGTTTTATTTTGCCGCAAGTCGTTTGCGTTTGGCCTTCGCGGCGGATTCTGAGCGCCTCCTGTGGCTGCAGGGTTTACACGACGCGAGATTTGAGTCCTCGCTTTGAATCTCGTTTTCATCAGCCACCGACACGCTCCGAACGCGGAGTGCCGGTGACCGTATGGACGAGATGGATTTTAGTAACTTACGTCAATTCAGATTTTCGTTTCCGGTGGTCGCCCTCGTCGCTCCGCGCTGGCGTCCATACCCGAGCGTGTCGGTGACCGCCGTACGAACTGCCCTCTACGCCCCCCATTCCCTTCAACAAATCGTCGTCGTCGTCAACAGCTGCTGGGCTCTGTCCACTGCCGGATAAGAGGGCCCCCTCCCCGCACCGTGCGCTTCCCACGAGGCAGAGAACGCCCAGCGGGAGGCGGTGACGTCGGGCGAACGCCGCGGCCGCGCGTGCGGCCACCCCAACGGCCACCCGTTTGTGGCGGCCACTCCGCGTGGCGCATTCCACCCCGGGGCCTGCGGAAATTGTTGGTTGTCCACGCGTGCACCTATTGGGGCGGGGGCCCGGTGTGTTTGTCGTTCAGCTCCGTGCGCGTTGTCGGTTGTTTTATTGGACATCGGTCCGGTTCACCGCGCACGACGTCCGCGCGAATCGGTGGAGCGGGCCCCCGAGTCTTGCGACCGACGGTGAATTCCGGCGGGCGACCGCAACGGACGTCTTGCCGAGTTCACGTGCCGACGCTTTTGTTCAGCCCGCTGGTGGACGGTGGCCTCCCCAGGCCGCACGTGGGTCTTGACCGTACTTCGCCGTGCTGGTCAGTGCAGGGCGGCGAGGGTGGGCAGGGTAGACGTAGGTAGAGTACATTGCTTTTTTGCTGCACCGCCCACAACGTAGCCTGTAGCACCTGCTATGCATGGTGGCCACCCACCGAAAAACACGATCCAGGCTCAAAATCCCGCTTCGCTTCTGAGACCGGATGAGATTGGGCACGTGTTTAGGGTATGGTTATTATTGCTGTAACTAATGAATGCTGGGAATAGGTGTTGAGTCACTATCGATGGGACACAGCACCTACTGAGGTATATATACACACACAGTACACACAGATATATACAGAGCCAAGAGGTCATGAATTGTCATCTTTGTTGGCCTTGATCAATCCACTGCTGGATGAAGGCCTCCCCAAGATGCCGATGTGTAGCAACGCGCCGATCACCACCTGCACACGAGCTGCTTTCACCGCTCCGTCTCTTTGGGGGACGTCCTCCCCGTCGTCGTCGGCCAACGATTTCAACGTGTGGACGATTTTATGTGAAAATATTCACGAATGCTTCCAGAGTCGTCCCCTCCCCCCCCCCCCCCCCAAAAAAAAAAAAACTACTTTGGGGGTTTGAGTCGCGTGTTCGCGGTGACGCCCGCGTCCTCCGCTTGATGTCCCCGCCGCTGGTACGTCGTTCCGCCAAAAACAAAAATACTAAATTCTCCGAAACCACGTCGCGGCCAACGCACGAGGTCTCGCCGCTATTCCGCGGTTTATTCCATTCGGCCTCGGGCAGCCGGTTTGCGTACGCAGCCCGCGCATCAATTCATAGTTTGGAATCTGTCAAATTGGAACTTTTGTCGTCGTCGTCGTCGCTGTTCGTCGTCGTAACCTTTCTCTTTTCTTGTTGCGTAAAAGAAATTTATTTTATTTTCACCTTTCGTTTCTTTTGTGTGTAAAAAAACAATCTCCCACCAGAACAAGCCATGTTTTATGAAATACAAAAGACCCAAACAGAGTACACGGCCGCGCTGGAAATGGTCAAACTGGAAGCGCACGACTTGAGGGGGGCGGTGGTAGAGGAGGGGGCGGTGGGGGGGGGGCCCCGGGAGAGATGCCCCCCCCCCCCCGGGGGAGAGGTGCCCCCCCCCGAAGATGGCCTGCGAGATGGAATCGGGACGCGAACGGCCCCGATTGGCAGCAAAAACCCCTTTTGCTTCAGCGATGTACAGTTGCATTTGATTTTTTTGGTAAAGAAATATGATGTGTATATGTAGATAAATATATATTAAATAATTTATACGTTATTTATAAAAAAAAGTGAAAATGGGGTAAAAAAAAATAAAGCGATTTGAAGTCAACTCGTGTTGCGGCTGCTCTTTCGTTGCGGCTGCTAACCGCTGTTCCACCATCATCATCATCGTCTTCAACCTTGGTCAGAAGCCGTCCCTATGGTATGGTGAATCGGGCCGACTGCCCTGGGCCCCGTGCTTTGGGGGGGGGGGGGGGTGTGGGGGTACCTCGCGCTTTGACGGCAGTGTCAGATGTCATACTTCCGGTTTAGTTTGAAGGGGTGGGAGGGCCCACGGGATTTGACCCGGACCCCGAACCCCCCTATGGACGGCCCTGGCCATGGTCAATCCGCTGCTGGATTAAGGCCTCTCCAAGCCGCTGCCACCTTTCGCAATCCTGCGGTGCAATGATCCACCCGGTACCGACACGCAAACTCATTCCATTGCTCCATCTCAGAGGTGGATGACCTCTGGGCGTGTTCCATTCATTCTGGAGATGAAATGTGAATCGAGGTGGCTGGGTGACTCGCACCAGAGGCCTGCCAACAACTGAGATCCTGGGTTTGAATCCTGGGTTTGAATCGCGTGAACCAGGGTCGCCAATTAACCGCGTAAAAATAAATTGTGACATTGAGTTCGTTTTACTCGAAAGTTTCCGATTTCGATGTCTTGGGTTTCTTTCAGTTGCGTCGCGGTCCACGTGAGGAAGTGCTGCCACCTCGTGTGGACAATAAGGGACGAACCCGGGATGGATTGGGTATAAAATAGCTGAACAACGTCTCCCACACATCGTCTGCTTCTGCACATACGAAAAAAAAAATTACGGCGCTATCAACAGCCCAATTGGCCCCCACGAAAGTCAACAATTTCAGCAGCATTGGCTCAACACAAGCAAACTAGAGCAGTTCTACGTTTAGTGTCTCGGCGCTGAACTGCCAGATGTTACAGACAAGGGGCCCTCTCTAAGACAAGGGTCAGAGTTCGACACCGTTAGATAATACACAACACACAAAAAAACACATTTGCGTGGTTGTTGGAGAATATTGTTATGCTTGTTTGGAAAATGTAGGGGATAGTTTCGTCTCCCAGATGTGTGGACAATGTCTAGAATTTGGGGGCACGGTTCCTGACTTGGGGAGCCTCCAGCAACGTCTGCCTCGATTCGTAGCTTGGCGGACGGGTGAAGTGGGGCAGCAGATAGAACAGTGTGGGGGGGAGGGGGGAGGGGGGAGGCGTAGGCAGGAGGAGGCCTGCAGGGAAATCTTCGTTGACCTGCGTCTCCCTCTGCAGGGAAGTTCACGGCAACATTGGAGAGCGACCGCCAAGCAGAGGTCGCAAACGGGATTTGATTCCTTACCCGTACCCGGCCGCACCAGGGTCGCAAACGGGTACCCGTACCCGGCCCGGGTACGGGTATCGAGTACCTGATTGCGACCTCTGTTGCAGGCGCGGGTGGGTTGATTCTAGGAACTTGAATTGTGAGAAAGAGACAAGACGTTGGGAAATGAGTGACAAACGGTTACTCACCAGTGACTCACGGCCTACCCGTACCCGGCTGTACCAGGGTCGCAAACGGGTACCCGTACCCATACCCGGCCGTGTACGGGTAGCCGGGTATCGGGTAGGGTACGGGTATCGGGTATACCCGGCTGGGTATGGGTAGCCAGGTATCGGGTAGGGTACGGGTATCGGGTACCCGGTTGTAACCTCTGCCGCCGAGCGCCGGTGAGGACGACTCGGTCCACACGGCGAGCGTGGCGTGCCAGGTGCGTCGGGGCAAAGCGCGTTTGCGCCACCGAGTGTGCGTGAGCGGAGGAGTCCGCGTGGAAGCGATGGTGGCGGTGGATCGTTACTCGCGCAACGGATTTGATTGGTACATTTTATATACTCTTAGTTCTTTCGGTAACGTCACGTAGGTAAAAAATGAAATAAAAATTTATAAAAATAAAACAATAATTTATTAATTTTTTACCTACGTGACTTTACCGAAAGAACTAAGAGTATGAATCCTTGCTGTCACGAAAGCTTCAAATCTAGACATTTTATATACACGTGTTCTTTTATTTTTAAAACAAAATATTTCACTTCAAAAATTCCTTGCGATGGAAACGTCTCGATTGTGGTGGTGGCGGCGGCGCGGCGTTCCGGGTACCGGACACGCGTCTATTTCTACCTCTCTCCCGGCAACTCATTTCAGGCCGAGCGGGCCTAGGGGGTTCCCAGGCGCAGGGTGGCTGCTTGCGCGTGCGTGGGGTCGGTGTCCGTGGGGGGGTCCCAGTGCCGGGGGGGGTCCCCCCCTCCCCGCCGCAAGGAGTAGACGGAGGGGCCCACGTGCACAATCTCTCCGCTGCCCAGACACTCATCGCCATGGTAGAACACGGCAAACTGGGGGACACGTGATAGGGGGACACGGGGACACGGGGACAGAGGGGGACAGGGAGACAAGGGGGACGGAAGGACGGGGGTATGGGAAAGGGGCCCACGGGGACACGAGGATAGGGAGGCATGGAGACGGGGAGAGAGAAGGGGATGGGGACAGTGAGACGGAGAAACACGCGGGAGACACGGGGAGGGCAGAGAAGAGGAGGAGCGAGGCAGCCAACGTGAAGAGCACCTGTGACGTGAAGGGTTTACATGGGCATGCCAAGGTGTGTCTCCACGTGTCACCGCTTGTCTCTACGTGTATAACTGTGTGTCCCCACGTGTCTCCGGGCGTCTACACGTGTCCCCTTGTGTCCTCCCGTATCCCTGCATATCCCCGCGTGTCTGTGCGTGTTCCCGCGTGTCTGTGCGTGTGTCCGTGCATGTTCCCGCGTGTCTGTGCGTGTCCCTACGTGTCCGTGCGTGTCCGTGCGTGTCCCCGGCGTGTCCGTGCGTGTGTCCGTGCGTGCGTGTGTCCGTGCGTGCCCCACCTGTCCGAGGGGCGGGGCGCGTACTGGCTGGGCGAACGCGACCCACGCGGAGCCGTCCGGCTCGAGCCTCAGGGTGCAGCGCTCTGCGGAGGTGGAGCCACAACGCGCAGGTCGGAGGCGGCCAGGAGCTGCCGTGGCGGTGGTGGTGATGGTGGTGGTGATGGTGGTGGTGGTAGTGATGGTGGTGGTGATGGTGGTGGTGATGGTAGTGATGGTAGTGATGGTAGTGGTTGTGATGGGGATAATGGGGGTGATGGTGATCGTGGTGGTGATGGGGGTGGTGGTAGTGATGAATGTGATGGTGGTGATGGGAGTGATGGATGTGATGCTGGTGATGGTAGTGATGGATGTGGCCGTGGTGATGCTGGTGATGGTGGTGATGGTAGTGATGGATGTGACGGTGGTGACGGTGGTGATGGTGGTGGTGGTGATGGTGATGTTGATGGTGGTGATGGTGACGGTGGTGACGGTGGTGGTGATGGTGATGGTGGTGGTGATGGTGATGATGGTGATGGTGGTGATCCCTCACTGAGTGGCATCTGGTGGTGGAACCGAGCGAGCACCTCCATCCTCCCGCTCCTCGCGAGCTCCGTGGGGGGCGCCCCCCACATCCAGTGGACACGTCCTGCACCACCATCAACATCACCACCATCACCATCAACATCACCACCATCACCACCATCATCAACATCACCACCACCACCATCAACATCACCACCATCACCACCACCATCAACATCACCACCATCAACATCACCACCATCACCACCACCATCACCACCATCATCAACATCACCATCATCACCACCATCACCATCATCACCACCATCACCACCATCACCACCACCATCATCACCACCATCACCACCATCATCAACATCACCATCATGATCAACATCACCACCACCATCACCACCATCATCATCACCACCATCAACATCACCACCATCATCATCATCACCACCACCATCACCACCATCACCACCACCATCACCACCATCATCAACATCACCACCATCATCAACATCACCACCATCAACATCACCACCATCACCACCATCATCACCACCACCATCAACATCACCATCATCAACATCACCACCACCATCAACATCACCACCATCAACACCACCACCATCATGACCCCCATCAACATCACCACCATCAACATCACCACCATCGCCACCATCATTACCCCCATCACCAACATCACCACCATCTCCATCACCAACATCACCACCATCACCACCATCACCACCATCGCCACCATCGCCACCATCAACATCATCACCGTCATCATTGTCACCCGACAACGGCTCATGTGACCCCCCCCCCCCCCCGCCTCTTCCCCGCAACGCCACGACTGCCGGCACCACCATTCCCTTGACGGACCACGGACCGCACCAACTCCCTGTTGCCGTCACTCCGCCGAGTCTCCCGCCCTCGTCTCTGGACATCCGCGTCGGCGACGCCCGCAGCCCTCACCCCTCCAGCCTCTCGGCTCACCCACGCCGAGCGCCGCGGCGCCGTTCTCTACCCGAGTCGTCGTCCGCCGTGTCCACCGGCTAGGGCCCCGCTCGTTCACCGTGTCCACCGGCTAGAGCCCCGCTCGTTCACCGTGTCCACCGGCTAGGGCCCCGCTCGTTCACCGTGTCCACCGGCTAGGGCTACGCTCGTCCGCCGCCCTCCGTGCCCTTCACCGGCTCCCCTTTTCACGGTGAACACCTGCGACGATTATCTGAAACGGTTCTGAGCCACCCCTAGGTCGACTCGGCCTCAAATAAGTACCTGGCGAAGTGTGTAAAACATCGCCACTGGAGAGACAAAGGCGGCCACCCGCCCCCCCTCGTGCGCCGCGCCGGCCTTCGAAGGTGTTCGCTAGCGGCACTTTCCCCACCAGTCTGTTGGGGCTACACGGGGGATCTTTGTCTTTGTACCTGTGCTCAGGGTGCTGCGCTGCAGTGCTGGGTGCTCGTTGGACGGAGCCTGGGGAAGGGACAGAGAACCGCAGTGACAGCCATGAGGGTGCTGCGAGTGTCGCCGTGACGGTGACAAGGTGAGGGTGACGAGGTGAGGGTGCTGCGAGGGGGACGGTGATGGTGACAAGGTGAGGGTGGCGCAGTGATAGTGCGGTGAGTGTGACGCGGTGTCTGTGACGAGGTGTGACGAGGTGAGTGTGACGAGGTGAGTGTGACAAGGTGAGTGTGACGAGGTGAGTGTGACGAGGTGAGTGTGACGAGGTGTGACGAGGTGAGTGTGACGAGGTGAGTGTGACGAGGTGTGACAAGATGAGTGTGACGAGGTGAGTGTGACGAGGTGAGTGTGACGAGGTGTGTGACGAGGTGAGTGTGACAAGGTGAGTGTGACGAGGTGTGACGAGGTGAGTGTGACGAGGTGAGTGTGACGAGGTGTGACAAGATGAGTGTGACGAGGTGAGTGTGACGAGGTGAGTGTGACGAGGTGAGTGTGACGAGGTGAGTGTGACAAGGTGAGTGTGACGAGGTGTGACGAGGTGAGTGTGACGAGGTGTGACGAGGTGAGTGTGACGAGGTGAGTGTGACGAGGTGAGTGTGACGAGGTGTGACGAGGTGAGTGTGACGAGGTGAGTGTGACGAGGTGTGACAAGATGAGTGTGACGAGGTGAATGTGACGAGGTGAGTGTGACGAGGTGAGTGTGGCAAGGTGAGTGTGATGAGGTGTGACGAGGTGAGTGTGACGAGGTGTGACGAGGTGAGTGTGACGAGGTGAGTGACGAGGTGAGGTCACTCACCACGAGCACGTCGCCCGTATCGACGTCCTTCTCCACCACGAACCACGCCGAGCGCAGCCCCCCGATCCGCGCGCGCTGCCCGACCGTCAGCAGGAACGCGCCTGCAGGGCCCCCCACACACACACACAGTCACACACACACAACAACAACCGCCATTCGCCACTAAGTGGCGGTGACGTCACCACGACGCTTGTGCCAGGCCATGTGCACCTTGAGGCTACCACGTGAAGTGTCGTACGCCCGCTGGCAGGAGGTCACGGGGCAGACCCAGCAGGTGCCACGGGTCGACTGACCGAGATGACCGAGATGACTGGCTGATGCACCACCTGTGCCCCCTACTTGTGCCAACTTGCTGTGCTTTAGCCACCCGGTGCTCCGCTCGTTGTTGTGAGCGTCGCTCCTCCGCCCTCCGTTGTTACTGGAGGGCGACTGCCTCCAACTGCCCAGTAGCGTCCTTCACGAGCCTCCTCCACAGAGGCCGATCTTGACACCGCTGGTACCAGTCATCGGCAAGTCCACTCAGCTCCACGTCATCCTGTACCACATCACTCCATCTCTTTTCTAGCCCGTGCCGCGCCCGTTTAGCCCCCTCGATCCGGCCGAACAAAAGCTGTTTAGAGGCATGCGGTGGCTGGGCATGCGGGCTACATGACCCAGCCAACGCAGCCTTGCCTGCCGGAGGAGCTCACCGATGGGACTTTGTCCAGATCTTTCAAGGATTTATGAGCTCCTCACACAATCCAGCCTGGTTAAACCCAGGATGGATCGTAGGCAGGCCAGCCTAAATGTTTCCAACCGGCGAAGATGCTCCATTAGGGGGGTCCACGTTTCGCAAGCGTAAAGAAGGGAGGGAATGACCGTGGCCGAGAAGACTTGAAGCTTCGTGGGGAGCGACAGACCAGGTACCTTCCACACAGCAGCGTTACGCAACCGATGAAAAGATATTGCCGCTCGACTGATTCGGAGTGAGATCTCTGCTGTTAAACTGGAGCCAGTCATAAGCACACTGCCCAGGTATGGGAAACTCTCCACTCTCTCCACTACTGCCCCATCACACACAGCCCCCCACACACACAAATTAGGGTTAGGGGTTAGGGTTTATTGTCTGTTGTGTGTTGTGTCTGTGTTGTGTCTGTGTTGTGTCTGTGTTGTGTCTGTGTTGTGTCTGTGTTGTGTGTGTTGTGTGTGTTGTGTCTGCGTTGTGTCTGCGTTGTGTCTGCGTTGTGTCTGCGTTGTGTCTGCGTTGTGTCTGCGTTGTGTCTGTGTTGTGTCTGTGTTGTGTCTGTGTTATGTGTGTTGTATCTGTGTTGTGTCTGTGTACGTGCTGTGTTGTGTGTGTTGTATCTGTGTTGTGTCTGTGTACGTGCTGTGTTGTGTCTGTGTTGTGTCTGCGTTGTGTCTGTGTTGTGTCCTCGCTGCTGTTGCCAGCGTGGCTCCGTGCACCTTTGTGTTGCCCCAAGACGCGACCGTCCTCGAGCGACACAAAGTTCCCGGGACGGGGCTCCAGGTACTGGCACCAACGGGAACACACAGTGACATCAACACCCACGCACCCCCTCCCCCTCCTCCTACTCCTCCTCCTCTCATGAGCATCAACATCAACATCATCATCCTCCTATCATCAACATCCTTCATCATCAGCATCCTCCTCAACTTATAACGCCGCACGGTATCCACTCATCGCTCTCGTAGAGACGACTCAGAGAGAGAGAGAGGACGACTCAGAGAGAGAGAGAGGAAGACTCAGAGATAGATAGAGAGGACGACTCAGAGAGAGAGAGGATGACTCAGAGAGAGAGAGGATGACTCAGAGAGAGAGAGGACGACTCAGATAGATAGAGAGGACGACTCCGAGGCGGCAGGAGGAGGAACCACAGAGAGCACGGCGCGAAAGAAGTTGGGCGCACACACGCACGCACGCACCCACCCACCCACCCACGCACGTACCCACCCACGCACGCACCCACCCACGCACCCACCCACGCACGCACGCACGCACGCACCTACCCACCCACCCACGCACGCACCCACGCACGCACCCACCCACCCACGCACGCACCCACCCACCCACGCACGCACCCACCCACCCACCCACGCACCCACCCACCCACCCACCCACGCACCCACCCACCCACCCACGCACGCACCCACCCACCCACCCACGCACGCACGCACGCACCCACCCACGCACGCACCCACCCACCCACGCACGCACGCACGCACCCACCCACCCACGCATCCACCCACGCACCCACCCACGCACGCACCCACGCACCCACCCACGCATGCACCCACCCACCCACGCACGCACGCAGGGCGTTCGCCGGCGACCGGTCGCGGCCGCGCTCTGCTCACCTCCAGCAGGAAGTTCTCGAACTTCCTCTTCCCGATGAAGCACATCCCGACGCTCTGCGGACGGAGACAGCGAGAGGCGGCGCCGCGTTAGCGGCGCGGCACGGGCACGAGCCACGTTTCCACGCGCACAATCTCATATTTCTCCTGCACGGTGATCGGGCCGCAGCCCGTCGCCCCCCCACGCGGATCACCCCCCGTCAAAGCGACGCGGCCGGCAGCACGCCGCTCGGTTGGCTTAACCCTCGAAGCCGACGTGCCGAGTTCGATCCCCGGCCGCACCTCTCTGCGCTGCAGGACGTGGTTGAGGCCGGCCTGGGCGGCCACTCGCCTGACGAGGGCCTTGGGCAGGCCGCCCACGGGGAAGAGCGCGTGGCGCAGGGCGCTCGCCGGCACCTGGCTGAGGAAGAAGGTCTGGTCCTTCGCGGGGTCCGCGGAGACGAGCAACCGCACACCTACGTGGGCAGAGACGCACGGGGAGGGGAGAGACACGGGGAGGGGAGAGACACGGGGGGAGAGACACGGGGGGAGAGACACGGGGGGAGAGACACGGGGAGGGGAGAGAGACACGGGGAGGGGAGAGACACGGGGAGGTGAGAGACACGGGGAGGAGAGAGACACGGGGAGGGGAGAGAGACACGGGGAGGGGAGAGAGACACGGGGAGGGGAGAGACACGGGGAGGGGAGAGAGACACGGGGAGGGGAGAGACACACGGGGAGGGGAGAGAGACACGGGAGGGGAGAGACGCGGGGAGGGGAAGAGACACGGGGGTGAGAGACACGGGGAGGGGAGAGAGACACGGGGAGGGGGAGAGGACACGGCGGAGGTGAGAGACCACGGGGGGAGAGGGACACGGGGCAGAGACACGGGGAGGTGAGAGGACACGGGGGGGGGCGAGACACGGGGGGGGGAGAGAGACACGGGGAGGGAGAGAGACACGGGGAGGGGAGGAGAGACACGGGGGAGGGGAGAGACACGGGAGGGGGCGACATGGGGCGGGGAAGAGACACGGGAGGGGAGAGACTATGGGGCATGTGAGAGGAAATCGGGGGGAGCCACGGGGGGGTGAGAGACACGGGGGAGGTGAGAGGACACGGGGAGGGGCGAGGACACGGGGAGGTGAGAGACCCCGGGGGGAGTAGACACGGGGAGGAGAGAGGACACGGGGTGAGGGGCCGAGACACGGGGAGGGGAGAGGACACGGGGAGGGGAGAGACCCGGGGAGGGGAGAGACACGGGGAGGGGAGAGACACGGGGAGGGGAGAGACACGGGGAGGGGGAGACACGGGGAGGGGAGAGACACGGGGAGGGGAGAGACGCGGGGAGGGAGAGACACGGGGAGGGGAGAGCACGGGAGGGGAGAGACACGGGGAGGGGAGAGACCGGGGAGGGGAGAGACAAACGGGGAGGGAGAGACACACGACGGGGAGGAGAGACACGGAGGGGAGACACGGGAAGGGAAGACACGGGAGGGAGAGACACGGGGAGGTGAGAGACACGGGGAGAGAGACACGGGGAGAGACACGGGAGGGGAGACACGGTAGAGCACGGGGAGGAGACACGGGGAGAGAGACACGGGGAGGGGAGAGACACGGGGAGAGAGACACGGGGAGGGGAGAGACACGGGGAGAGAGACACGGGAGGGGAGAGACACGGGGAGGGGAGAGACACGGGGAGGGGGAGACAGGGGAGGGAGAGACACGGGGAGGGGAGAGACACGGGGAGGGGTAAGACAACGGGAGGGATACACGGGGGGGTGAGAGACACGGGAGGGAGAGACACGGGGGGGTGAGAGACACGGGGAGGGGAGAGACACGGGGGGGTGAGAGACACGGGGAGGTGAGAGACACGGGGAGGAGAGAGACATGGGGGGGTGAGAGACACGGGGAGGGGAGAGACACGGGGGGGTGAGAGACACGGGGAGGGGAGAGACACGGGGAGGTAAGAGACATGGGGAGGAGAGAGACACGGGGAGGGGAGAGACACGGGGAGGGGAGAGACACGGGGGGGTGAGAGACACGGGGAGGGGAGAGACACGGGGAGGTAAGAGACACGGGGAGGAGAGAGACACGGGGAGGGGAGAGACACGGGGAGGGGAGAGACACGGGGGGGTGAGAGACACGGGGAGGTAAGAGACACGGGGAGGAGAGAGACACGGGGAGGAGAGAGACACGGGGAGGGGAGAGACACGGGGAGGGGAGAGACACGGGGAGGGGAGAGACACGGGGAGGGGAGAGACACGGGGAGGGGAGAGACACGGGGAGGGAGAGACACGGGGGGAGAGACACTGGGGGGAGAGAGACACGGGGAGGAGAGAGACACGGGGAGGGGAGAGACACGGGGAGGTAAGAGACACGGGGAGGAGAGAGACACGGGGAGGGGAGAGACACGGGGGGGTGAGAGACACGGGGAGGGGAGAGAGACACGGGGAGGGGAGAGACACGGGGAGGTGAGAGACACAGGGAGGAGACACGGGGAGGGGAGAGACACGGGGAGGTGAGAGACACGGGGAGGTGAGAGACACAGGGAGGAGACACGGGGAGGGGAGAGACACGGGGAGGTGAGAGACACGGGTTGGGGAAAGTCTGAACTGTCTAGCTGTTGCCGTCCACGTGCCCGCCCGTCTGTGTGTGTGCGGGGTGACGGCGCTTGTGCCAGGCCACGGTCTCAAGCGCCGTGGTGACGTCACCGACACTTAGTGGTGACGTCACCGCCACTTAGTGGTGACGTCACCGCCACTTAGTGGCGAATGGCGGCGGCTGCTACTGTTGTTGTTGTGGGCTGAGACAGCGGTAGCGCAGCGCACGAATCCGGTGACCCGTGTCGGTGGCGGAGGTTGGAGAGCGAGCGCTCACCGTGTGGCGGGTCCCCGCCGGCGCCGTACGTCTGGCCCAGCACCGCCTCCTCCTGCAGCGAGGTGCGTGCGTAGTGGCCCGTCGCCACCGCGTCCGCGCCTGCAGCGCCCGTCCACGACGGCGACCAAACACAAGATCCCCCGTGGAGGCTCAACCGAGCGCTGGGGGCAAGTGCCGTCAGCGAGCAGCGCCGACGAGTGGCGGCACGGCGCGCGGGGGGGTGGGCGGCCCAGCACCACGCCCGGCCGCCTTTGTCTCCCCAGTGGCGATGTTTACACACCGGGTACTCATTTGAGGCTGAGTCGACCTAGGGGAGGGCCCAGGACCGGTTCGGATAATCGACACCGGGTGTTGGCCGTGAGCGGGAATCGAACTCGGGTCGCTACACCCCCCGCTCCCCACTACAACCACCACCACAACCACCACAACCATCACAACCACCACCACAAACACCACAACCACCACCACCACCACAACCACAACCACCACAACTACCACCACAAACACCATGGCAGATACAGCAACTGCTTCTACGGCAGCCACCCCAGCAACAACGCGGCGTTGCCTGTCACCTTCATCGCACGCTTAGAGACCCCTCCCATCGACTCTCTTCCCAAGCTCTTGACGTTGACAGTTGTCCGAATAACCTAGCTCAATGCAAGAACATGTGTTAAGCTCTTATCTAATACAACTTCAATAATGTGGTGAGGGTGGTCGTGGCGGTGGCAGTGGAGGTAGCGGTGTTGGTGGAGGAGGTGGTGGTGGTCGTGGTGGTTGGTGGTGGTGGTTGGTGTTGGTGGTTGGTGGTGGTGGCGGTGGAGGTAGTGGTGGTGGTCGTGGTGGTTGGTGGTGGTAGCGGTGGAGGTAGTGGTGGTGGCAGTGGAGATAGTGGTCGTGGTGGAGGAGATGGTGGAGATGGTGGAGGTGGTGGAGGTGGTGGTGGTGGTAGTGGTGGTGGTGTTAGTGGTGGTGGTAGTGGTGGTAGTGGTGGTAGTGGTAGTGGTGGTAGTGGTGGTGGTAGTGGTGGTGGTGGTGGTAGTGGTGGAGGTGGTAGTGGTGGTGGTGGAGGTCGTGGTGGTGGCAGTGGAGAAAGTGGTCGTGGTGGAGGAGATGGTGGTGGTGGTGGCGGAGGTGGTGGTGGCGGAGGTGATGGCGGAGGTGGTGGTTAAGGTGGTGGTTAAGGTGGTGGTGGTGGATGATCTCACCGAGTCGCTCCATTGCGAACTGCAGCAGGTGGTGGAACTTGATGTGCCGGTTGCACAGGATGTCCGGGTTGGGGGTCCTTCCTCCCTCGTAGCCTCTCAGCATCGCACTGCCACCGCACGCACCGCACACACCGCACACACCACACACACCGCACACACCGCACACACCGCACACACCGCACACACCGCACACACCGCACACACCGCACACACCGCACAAACCACACACACCACACACACCGCACGCACCGCGCACACCGCACGAGCCATCATCACCGTCACCGTCATTCATCGATAGAACTGCCATCATCATCATCATCATGGCGATCACCATCGCAGTCATCATCACTGCCATCGCTACGACCATCGCAGTCATTCGCCATCATCACCACCGCCGTCTTCATGCGCATCATCATTCTCAACCGTCGTCATCGCCCTCGTTCTTAACATCATCGACTGGCATCACGGTTGTGGCAATTGCTGCCGTTGCCGGTTATAGCTGCGGTGGTGGTCGCGGCGTTGGCGATCGTTGTGGTGTTTGTCTCTGGGGTGAGGGGTGATAGTGAAGGCGGTCGTGGCGGTGACCTTGCCTGGTAGCTGTGGCTGTAACCACGGTGCCTGCGAGCAGACGGTCGTTGCGTGTTGGTGCGGTTTTTGCAGTGGCAGCGGCGGTGGTGGCGGTTGCGGTGGCCGTGACGGTGGCGGCGGTGGCGGTGATGGTGGCCGTGGCGGTGGCGGTGGTGGCGGTGGCGGTGATGGTGGCCGTGACGGTGGCGGCGGTGGCGGTGGTGACGGTGGCGGTGACAGTGGCGGTGGCGACGGTGGTGGTGACGGTGGCTGTGACGGTGGCGGTGGTGACGGTGGTGGTGACGGTGACGGTGGCGGTGACGGTGGCGACGGCGGTAACGGTGGCGGTGGTGTCGGGCCCCACCTGAACACGTCGTGCCAGTACTCCTTGACGAAGCTGACCTCCCGGAAGGGCACGTCGAGCTGGTCGCACACGCGGCGTGCGTCGTCACGGTCACGGTCCCCGGAGCAGGACCCAGCCGCCTCCTCGTCCGCCCGCTCCCAGTTCCTCATGAACACCCCGGTCACGCGGTGACCTGGGACACAGAACACGGGGAACGGGTGTTGGTTGGTTGTTGTTTTTTAACGGTTTTACTTCACTTCAAGTTCAAGTTCATGTATTAGGTATAGCCCTGTGAGCTATTCGGCTCTTGAATCGGGTGCAACCGCAACAAACAAAAAACATGAACAAGAAAACATCTTATAGTGACTAAGTGCAAACAGAAAATCCAAGAAAAGACAGCAAAATATTGCAGAAAAGGCACCGTACACCAACACTGTGTGCAAACATCCCAGTGGGATGCAAGTCAAACAACAACAACAACCACAAGACAACTTAGATTAAGGCCATCAGTCTAACTCTGTACTACAACAAACAAACATGGCCAAACCAAAAAACTTGAAAGCAGTGTCGTGGTCAAATCTTGTAATCAAAAGTTAGTCTTCTTCCTGTTGCCCAATCAATTCCAAATGTCGCACACGTACTCGGATCCGGTGACAATGCGTGCCTGTATTAAAATCGGCATCAATTAATCAACTAATTGCCTCCTTTCAAGCAATTACAATTTTTGTATGGACGGCTTATTAATTATATATTTTGTGGAGGTGAAAAACGCAGCGGTCCCTAAACTATGGAATCCGCTCGCCCAAGAAGCAGGCGCCACGTGTCTCTCGTCATCAAGATGTCAACAACTTCCCCTTGTACAATCGAGTTATTTACTTTCTAGTGCACTTTAAAATGAAGCCGTTGTTTTTTTAAAAATGAGTTTATTTCTCTTCTTGGTTCTTTCGGTAAAGTCACGTAGAAGGGAAGTAATAAAAGAATAAAAATAAAACATAATAAATAACATAATACATTTTTTATTTATGTTTTATTTTTATTATTTTATTACTTCCCTTCTACGTGACTTTACCTAAAGAACCAAGAAGATGAATCCCTGCAGTCACGAAAGCTTTAAATCGAAATTTGAGTTTATTTCATTAAACTCTCATCGGGGCTCACCCCCTCTCTCGCCGGACACTCTGCCTCCTCCCCCGTGGGCCACGTTCAAGAAGGGCCATTGCTCGAAACGTCGCCCCTTTCCCTCGTAGGCACACCACGCAGTGCTCTAGTTCTTCACGAGTGTGCACAGACGTTGTGTGTGGGTGTCAACGGGACCTGTACCTGTGCATCATCGCCACGCGTTAGTGACGGCACAACTCTTGATATTGACACCAAAGACAAAGATGCCCCCCCACCGTGTAGCCTGTAACATGCTGTTGGGGCAAGTGCTGTTAGCGAGCACCTATGAAGGCCGGCACGGAACACGAGCGGGTGGGTGTCCAGCACCACGCCCGGCCGCTTTTGTCTCCCCAGTGGTGTACGGCTCAGAGAGAGGGCGACTCGGTGACCATACTTCACCACGCCGGTCTCACCGCGTCTCTTCATGAGCAGGGCTGCCACGGCGCTGTCCACCCCTCCAGACACCGCCACGGCCACGTGTCGGGTCGACCCCATGGCAGCGGCGAGCCGCGATTACTCCAAGTCACTCGGGGTAACTACACAGGAGTGGGGTAACTACACAGGAGGGTTAGAGGGGTAACTACACAGCAGGTGGGGTAACTACACCAGGAGTGGAGTAACTACACCAGGGGTGGTGGGGTAACTACACAGCAGAGAGGGGTAACTACACAGGAGGGTTAGAGGGGTAGCTACACAGCAGGTGGGGTAACTACACCAGGAGTGGGGTAACTACACAGCAGAGAGGGGTAACTACACAGGAGGGTTAGAGGGGTAGCTACACAGCAGGTGGGGTAACTACACCAGGAGTGGGGTAACTACACAGCAGAGAGGGGTAACTACACAGGAGGGTTAGAGGGGTAGCTACACAGCAGGTGGGGTAACTACACCAGGAGTGGAGTAACTACACCAGGGGTGGTGGGGTAACTACACCAGGGGTGGTGGGGTAACTTAACCAGGAGGGGTAACTACACAGTTAGAGGGGTAACTACACAGCAGAGAGAGGTAACCACACAGCAGAGAGGTAACTACACAGGAAGGGTAACTACACAGCAGAGAGAGGTAACTACACAGGAGGGGTAACTACATATAGGTAGAGGGGTAACTACACAGAGTTAGAGGGGTAACCACACAGCACGAGAGAGAGTTTGGGGTAACCACACAGCAGAGAGGGGTAACTACACAGCAGAGAGGGGTAACTACACAGCAGAGAGAGAGAGTTTTGGGGTAACCTTGGAACGCGCGCTTTGGATTTCCCAGCGCGCATCGGCGCCGTCCCCTCCTCCCATTGGTCCGCGTCACGAGCAGTGGCCACGTGGGCGCAGCCCCTGCAAGTGCCGCCTCCAAACCACGTGGCCGCGCTCGCCCCGCCCCCACCCTCGCCCCGCCCCCACCCTCGCCCCGCCCCCACCCTCGCCCCGCCCCCGCCCCGCCCCCACCCTCGCCTCGCCCCGCCCCCACCCTCGCCCCGCCCCCACCCTCGCCCCGCCCCCGCGCTCGCCCCGCCCCCACCCTCGCCCCGCCCCCACCCTCGCCCCGCCCTCGCCCCGCCCCCACCCTCGCCCCGCGCTCGCCCCGCCCCCACCCTCGCCCCGCCCCCACCCTCGCCCCGCGCTCGCCCCGCCCCCACCCTCGCCCCGCCCTCGCCCCGCCCCCACCCTCGCCGCGCCCCCACCCTCGCCCCGCCCCCGCCCCGCCCCCACCCTCGCCCCCGCCCTCGCCCCGCCTCCACCCTCGCCCCGCCCCCACCCTCGCCCCGCCCCCGCGCTCGCCCCGCCCCCACCCTCGCCCCGCCCCCACCCTCGCCCCGCCCCCGCGCTCGCCCCGCCCCCGCGCTCGCCCCGCCCCCACCCTCGCCCTCGCCCCGCCCCCACCCTCGCCCCGCCCCCACCCTCGCCCCGCCCCCGCGCTCGCCCCGCCCCCACCCCCGCCCCGCCCCCACCCTCACCCCGCCCCCACCCTCGCCCCGCCCTCGCCCCGCCCCCACCCCGCCCCCACCCTCGCCCCGCCCTCGCCCCGCCCCCACCCTCGCCCCGCCCCCACCCTTGCCCCGCCCCCGCTCCGCCGGTGTTGAGAAATGTGACGTCACATCAAAATGCGCAACTTTAAATAAATATAGAATTGTTATAACAACACTAATTGTTATAACAACACTCCTACAACATCAGAGTGCAGCGCCACATTAAATACGCACTACAATTTCAAAATGGAAATATGGTTTTGGGGGGGGGGCAGAGCTTTGTGACGTTGTAGCTACAACACGTGTAGTAGCAGCAGCTACAACACGTGTAGTAGCAGCTGCTACAACACGTGTAGTAGCAGCTGCTACAACACGTGTAGTAGCAGCAGCTACAACACGTGTTGTAGCAGCTACTACACGTGATGTAGCTACTTGTGTAGCTACATGTGCTCCTACGATAATCCGTCACTGGTAGTAGCAACAGAAGATTGACGAGGAGGCGTCCGATCGCCGGTGGCTGGCATGATGAGACTGAGCGAGCGTCGGATTAGCGCTCACGCCCACGGCTGGCGGGCACTCGAGAGAGTGAGAGAGACATGGCACTTGGCCTACTCTTCCGTCGCCGAGTCAGACGCTTTTTTAAAGCGGCCGAGGGTTACTCTTTGGTTCTTTCGGTAAAGTCACGTATAAAGATAAAATAATAAATTAAATAATAGCATACTACGACGTTTCGATTGCAACACAAGCAATCGTCATCAGGTATAAAAGAAATAGCGACAAAAATCTAACCAGAAAACTTTTGTTTGCTATTTCTTTTATACCTGATGACGATTGCTTGTGTTGCAATCGAAACGTCGTAGTATGCTATTATTTAATTTATTATTTTATCTTTATACGTGACTTTACCGAAAGAACCAAAGAGTAATTCCTGCAGTCACGAAAACTCCAAATTAAAATTCGGCCGTGGGTTGACCGCCGTGCCCACTCACAATGCTGCTGGTCGGGACGGAGGCGGCAGGAGGCTGGGGAAAGTGATCAAGTGCCGTGCCGGGAGATCGAATGAAAACGTTGCAATTGTAACTAGAAGTGACCCAAATTTCGATTTAAAGCTTTCGTGACTGCAGGGATTCATGTTCTTGGTTCTTTCGGTAAAGTCACGTAGAAGGGAGATAATAAAATAATAAAAATAAAACATAATAAAATAATCAATTTCTCACGACGTTTTGGCCACAACGCAAGCAGCCGTCCTCAGGTGAAGAACAGGTCTGACGCTGTCTTTCCGACAGACCTGTTCTTCACCTGAGGACGGCTGCTTGCGTTGTGGCCGAAACGTCGTGAGAATTGTAATATTAATTGTATTATTTTATTATGTTTTGTTTTTATTATTTTATTATCTCCCTTCTACGTGACTTTACCGAAAGAACCAAGGAGATAGAAGTGACCCAGTTTGTCATCGGCTCCAAACGTCGGTGCATTCCCACCGGGAGTTTCCATCGCTCCCAAAGATCACACCTCTGTACGCACGGGATTCAAAATAAATATTTTTTATTTATTTACACCGCATTATACCAGAGAATCATTTCCCAAAATACCCAATTCCCCCCGCCCTCCAAATCATATTATTCACCAATATATACCCACACTTTGCCCCAACCGCATACATTTCTCATTCGGTCAAACACAGAGGCATAGATTGTAACAAATAGAAATTTGCCCGAAAAAACACAAACAAAAACCACGTGGCCTGTAGTTGACACGAGGTGATCCTTTTCTAGATACCCCACCGAGGTAACAGCGAGAAATTATAGAGAAAACAAAAACAATAGGGTAACAATAGGGTTATTTCAAATCCCCGATGCATGCCCCACCCATCTCAACACTCTACAACCCTCAACACTCTACAACCCTCAACACTCTCCTCTCAAATTTCGATTTAAAGCTTTCGTGACTGCAGGGATTCATCTTCTTGGTTCTTTCGGTAAAGTCACGTAGAATGGAAACAATAAAAGTAATAAAATAAAACATAATGATTTTATTATGCTTTATTTTATTATTTTTATTGTTTCCATTCTACGTGACTTTACCGAAAGAACCAAGAAGATGACTCTCCTCTCAGACACTTCAGTCAGCCATTGAGGTACATTAAGAAATCAGCGGGGTATCTCTAAATGGATCACTCACATGTTAAGAATTCCAGAACACCGAGCACGTGATCAAGTCTTCGCCACGCTGGCCAACCTGCAGTAACCAGCGCGGTGAAGTATGGCCAAAATAACCCCCCCCCGCCCGCCCGCCCGCCACGCGGGCCTCATCCAGCAGTGAATTCACGCGTTGCAAGCCTCCTCTGCTCGCGACGGACACCTGACCGACCAAGCATTAACACGGTTAGCTACGTACGGTGCGAAAGAAGTTCAACATACATACACACACGAGAGTAGCAGGGTGTGCGCGTGTGTTTGTGCGTGGTATAAACTCGCCACCAGGTCAATGGATTCATTCAATTTCGCACTGTGGTAGTGGCAGCGACCCCTGCAGCCACGGGGGGGGGGGGGGGGGGTGGGCGACGAGAACCCATGAAATGCAACGCGCAGAACGTGTGCCCCCCCCCCCACACCTTCAGGTTAATCCAAAAAAAATCACGAAATCGGACAGAAATTCCACACGATGCCCCAACCACATCCACGGCGACTCCAGCAGCAGCAGCCGGCGGCAGCGGCGGCATGTCCCGCGACTCCGTCACACGCGGCCCCTGGCGGTCACGGGGCCTCGCACTCACGCAACGGGGGAACCGCAAACAATCATCACCCGTCCCGGCGAACGAATTTTATCCGCACTGAGATTATTTTCGACGTGGCAACAACGTCGTGGCTTCTAATATTACCACCGTTCTCTGTCGCTCCGGCAATTAGCTTGTTGTTTTCTCGCTCGCGAGTTTGCACATTCCCACCGTGCGTTGTCCTGTGTCACTGCCGGCCTTGCCGACGACAGTGGGCTGTGGCCGTCCTTGTACCAGAGCTGCTTAGCTCAACGGGACTCGCCAAATAAAACGATAAAGCACGGGTCCTAGTCGCTCGTGACTCTGGCAAAGGCCCTCTGTACGCTCGGTGTAAACGGCGCGTTCTCGTTTGCCGTGCGACTTTTTGGATGGCGTCGATGGCACGAGCGACCGGCCGGCCCTCGGTTTCGGAACGGGTTCCCCGAGGGGCCTGGCGCTGCACCCGTGGCGAGGCCTGCAGCTCAACTCTGCAGGTCTGCGACAGCCTAGTGCCATACTAGGTACACCGAACTGTGGCACAAACATACACTCAAAGCTTAATATGAAAATGAGACATTTTTCAAAATGAAAATCATGCAACCGTGTTCTGTGTTAAATCATGAACGCGCAACGCCGTCCGTGCGCTCGGCGCAGTGTAAACAAAGTGGGAAGCAACTGCATTGGAAGGAACGCTTCCTCCTGCAATGGTGAGAAACATCGGAGGGAAAGTACAGGCTCGCGTGTCCGGCGAACGCCAGCGCGGAACAATTCGCGCGAACGGAATCCATCGCGAGTTATATTTCCTAACGGATCGCGTCTCCACTCGAGTTATCACGATCCACCCGGCCCCCCCCACCCCTCCGTTAAAGCCGGACGGACGTCGCAAATCAACGAACGCGTTCGGCACCCACGAGTTAGAGGGGTGCGCGCGCCGGGATGGAAGAGGAGGGTGTGAACGTGCCAAACTTGGCGGCAAGGATCGAGACGGCTGCTGTAGAGAAGGCCAGGGAATGTGATCGCCCTCATGGACTGATACTCTTGAAACTAGCGGATAGTCCGTCTTACTGCCCAGGTTGAACATTCGCTGTCGGTACCCCCACTCCCAGTTTGACCTATATCGGGTCCGTAATCGATTTTTTTTGGGGCAGGCCACGTGATAATTATCCGAGGTCAATTCATGTCGTTAAGACCCTCCGTCACCTGACGCGGCCAAAGTAAATGGTCACGAGTACAGGCGTTTTAACGGGCCAATGGTGATTGTTTCAGCTCACTCGCCAGTGAAGAATTCTCACAGCCAGATTTAGCCCAATTAGATTTGCGACGTTTCGCTTTAAACTTATCTGATGTGGTCTTGCACAGCGCCTTAATCCAAGGCACTTTACAGCTATTGTAAAATTGTGCCTAAAATGAAAGTGGTGGAGATAATGACAGGGGTTGTTATTAAAAGCATCTTCAGGACCAGATTCAGGAAGTCAGAATAAAAAGGTCCAGGTATCAGCTTATTAACGTGACATTATATTTTGTTTGTCTGCGTTGGGTGGTGGACAGTCTTAAAACCACAAACCTTCGCCAGCTCAATAAGTGGCCTAACCCACGAATCACTTACGGATCCTAATATCGGCTGCAAAAAAAACCCAAGTGTTAAGCCTACATCAGGTCAGTTCAACACGTAGGCTTTCGCGACAAACATCATCCACAATTCAGGTTTTTTTTGGGTTAGATTGCGTAAACGCATCATAGTCGTAGGTCATACAGAGGTCATCAAGCCAGAGCGAGCTCCCACTCGACGAAAGTGAACGAAGATGGCGCCGTGACAAACGCGTCGAGTTGGCGCTCGGTCTGGATCGGTAAGAATCTGTTCGCTGCGCTTATTTTGTATCAAAATATCGACGGCGTCACCGTTTTGTTGGCGATGCAGCACAACCCCCGAGTATCCGATGGCACTCGCCCCCCCAGTGAGATCAGCGACCGAGCGACCCAAACTCAATCATTGTCTTAAAATAACGACGCGTCAGCTTACAGTGCCGACTTGGCACAAACAGGGAACGCAGGGACGCAGATTCATTTTCAAATCCACAATCCCACCAACAAAAAATATCCATCCCAGGTTTTTAACCTCACAGTGAAAAAACACAAAAGTAACAATGCCACCGCCTCTACTCCGGAATGCGGCACGTGTCAAGATTTTTTTTTAAGGTAAAGGTGCAGCTCTGCAATGACTTACATATTCCACTGCTGGCAGAAGGGCCTCTAGTACAGACGGTATTTGGTCGACTCTTCCACATTGACCAGACGTGATGGAAGAAGTGGGCGTCCGCACACTCTAACCACCCCCGCCACGTGCGACCTGCCGATTGATTGAAGATGGTAAATGAATTCGCACTGCTGCTGGGTGGACGGAAGCGATGTGGAGGGGGGGGGGGATTGGAGAAACTTGCACCGTCGTCCCATCTGCAGATGGAATCAAACCGTCGCCCCCTTTGGATGGCGACGCCGGCGTGCTCGTAACCACCACGGCACACCGCGGCAGCTGCCTCCCCCCCCAAGATGTGCACACAAGAGAATTAAAACCATGTCCACACCGCAGCGATTAACCGCGCGCAAGTCGGCCGCGTGCGATAGATCGCACGTGGCCAATGCTCACGGTGGAAGGCGTCGCGACTCTCACGCGGCGGCCCACTCAGCGGCAGCCGTGATTGGCCACGACAATCCCGAAAGACGCAGCTGGTCGCGTCAAGGTGTGGGCAAAAGCAGTTGCGGACGAGGGTCAAAGCTTCGCAGGCGCGAGAGCGATTTCCTTCGCTCTCGCACGACGGATCGCTCGGCAGGCGCGGAGCCGGCTAACGGAGAGGAGGGGAAGGCAGGAAGACAAGGACTGGAGTTGCGGGGTGGTGGAGCGTGGAATGAGGTCGGTTAAATCGAAAATAATGAAAAGAATTAAGTGCGTGCAAAATCTTCCAGTTCAACGAATCTCACCGAACGAAAGTTAAGTCTCATTTATTTACTCGGCTCAAATAGCGCGCGACCGTTTGGTCACGAGTAAGTCTGTAAAAATCTATCAAAATGTACACCAAACATTTACGTTGTTTTACAGAAAAATAGTGTAAGTATAAACTAAATTGTCATTATTAGAAATAATAGGGCACAAGTTTTCAATTGAAAAGTGCTCCATCCCAAACAATAAGTCTTGTCACCCGCTATAAATCGTAGTCCAATTGCACCGATGTCTGCAGCACGTCAAGAGACAAACACACATCCACGTGGAACTCTCACAGTGGACAGTCCCCCAGACGATGACATCACAGAAGTACTTCTGGAGTCCCTTCAAGAAACCTCCAACCGGTAAAGCTGAAATTTTAGTCCTCAAAGCTGGACTCAACAAAATGAAATAAAAAAATTTACTATTTAACTACAAAGGCTTTTTTTGTTCGACGGTGGCTGGCCTACTGAGACCATCAACTCGCGCTGCAATGGAGACGCCGGTTTCATCACCGTGGTTTGGCGGTTGAACCCGGTTTCTCAGCCGTGCCGGCTCATTGTCTCTGATCTCACCCAGCCACCTCACCCACTCGACCGCTCGCCCAATCGCCCACCCACTCGCTCGCCCAATCGCCCACCCACTCGCTCGCCCAATCGCCCACCCACTCGCTCGCCCAATCGCCCACCCACTCGCTCGCCCAATCGCCCACCCACTCGCCCGCCCAATCGCCCACCCAATCGCCCACCCACTCGCTCACCCAATCGCCCACACACTCGCCCGCCCACCTCGCTCGCCCAATCGCCCACCCACTCGCTCGCCCAATCGCCCACCCACTCGCTCGCCCAATCGCCCACCCAATCGCCCACCCACTCGCTCACCCAATCGCCCACACACTCGCCCACCCACTCGCTCGCCCAATCGCCCACCCAATCGCCCACCCACTCGCTCGCCCAATCGCCCACCCACTCGCTCGCCCAATCGCCCACCCACTCGCTCGCCCAATCGCCCACCCACTCGCTCGCCCAATCGCCCACCCACTCGCTCGCCCAATCGCCCATACACTCGCCCGCCCACTCGACGATCGAACGTGCACGATTTTCCGAGCGTGTCGCGAGCGTCCAGAATGCATCTCAACGGCCGGACCCGGTACTGCCTCTGCACCTCCGGCACCAGCCACGACTCCGATCCGCCTGTATGGCCAGCGCTAGCTGAGCGAGCGAGCGACGGAGCGAGCGACGGAGTGAGCGAGTGAGCGAGCTGTGCACATCTCGTCTTAAACGCTCACCCCCACCCCCCCTCTTATCCCGTTGCCCTCCCCTTCCCTCCCCCGCTACCGCCAGCGCTCACGACTTTGCGGACAGCGCGGCCGCCCCCGCCGGGCCCTTCTCATCCTCCTTCTTGGCGGCGGCGGCGCTGGGCCGCGGCGGGAGGCTGTAAATGTAAACGGCGCCGATCACCATGGCCGCCCCGGTCGCGAACAGCCAGTCGACGTGGAAATCAAAGAGGAAGATGGCGGCGGCGGTGGAGACCAGGATGGAGAGCGACGTGGCGAAGCCCTTGAGGATGTTGTCGGCGTACTTGACGACGACGGCCACCAGCAGGCCGCCGAAGGCCTGGTTGAGCACCACGGCCCACACGGCGGGCGAGTAGGCGTGCAGGAAGCCGAGCCGCGCCACCTCGGCGCCGTCCTTGGACCACATGGCGAAGAGGCCGAGCGCCGTGCCGTACAGGCCCAGCTGCACGTTGCGCAGCCACACCGAGCCGCCCGAGCCTACGGGCAAGGCGGGGCGAGGAGCGAGGAGAGAGGGCGATGTGGTGCAGGGAGGAGAGGAGAGAGGGTGGTGGTGGTGGTGGAGGATGGGGATGGAAAGAGGAGGGAGAGAAGATGGCCAAATCAAATTTCGGGTACACTTGCTGTTGGCACCATTCTTACAGCGCAGGGCGACCACATCGGGTGGCGCTGCGCCTACAGACACGGCCTGCACTAGTCTAGCAGTAGGGGGCGACCGGCAGAGAGGGACGCAGCGGCTCGCTGGCACGTTCGCACGCTCGTTTGCTCGCTCAATCACCCGTGCACCCGCTCGCCCGCTCACCCGCACGCCCGCTCACCCGCGCGCCCGCTCACCCTTGAGGATCTTCTCAAAGTAGACTCCGGCGAAGCCCGAGGAGACGCAGGAGATGACGACGGCGACGAGGCCGATGGGGTAGCTCTGCTCGCCGCTGGCGGTCGAGGACTCGCCGCCGCCCACCTGCTGCACCTGCACGGCCGCCACGCCGCAGAAGAGCAGCAGCAGCGACCCCCACTGCGCCCGCGACAGCGAGCGGTGCAGCATCAGCACCGAGAAGAGTGCCGTCGTCAGGATCTTCAGCTGGTACGTGACCTGAGAGAGCGCGGTGGGGGGCGGGGGGGGGGGAGAGAGATGGCACGAGGCACGCGAGTTCGGGAGGCGCGCGCGACCGTCGGCACCATGTCCGACGTTTCACTCCACATGCTGGGAGCTTCTTCAGCCCTAATGCATACGCATTAGGGCTGTAAACCGGTAACCGTTTTCAGAATCGGTTAACGATCCCACGAGTCGGGTAGCGGCGATCGTTTGCCATGCAATTTTAGTGACGGATGCACAGATTGGCCACGTTTCTCATCAGGTAATGGCGCAGCCCTGCAATGTCTGCTGGGAGACGGGGCCTCAACTCGAGGATGCTCGAGCGGGCATTTGGCCTACTCGTCCACGCTAACCAGACGTATTGGAAGAGGCGAGCGTACCCACACTTTACCCCACCGCACGCAAGCTGCCGATCGACCAACAGGGGTTTATATTGCCGGGTGGACGGAGACGTTGGGGGGAGAAGCTTGCGACCTCTCGATGGCTGACCATCGACCCCACCGTGGCAGCCCCCTCCGTCTCTCAGCTAAACGGTCGAACGCGTCGCATTCATTGCTCCAGACATGTCTGTCCGTACGGCACCAGTAGTCGTTTTGTTTTTGCTGCATTTGGTGAATCCAAAAACCATTCCGACCGAAAAGCCGTAGCAACCAGTTAAAAATGGATTTTAAAAGTTCGGTGTCCGGGTGACAGTTTGGGAAAACTGGTTCGAACTGGCTAAGTTTTCCATAATCGCTCAGAATTATCATATGCATGCCTCCCCCCTGTGTACCTTACACTGCAGGTTAACATGCAGGAGCAGTTTGCGTTGCTAATGTTGCCATCGCTTCGTTAATAAGCAACGTTAATTGCAGCACAGAGAGCCCTGTTTGAATCTATTTCCAATATGGTTCTTTGTGCTGTAACGTGTTAAGGACGAGTCGTGGATTCACCTAAACTTTCTCAAATAAATTTGTGATTAGACGGAGATTATGTTGCTGGGCTCTCCACATCAAGTGCATAAATTGGATGGTTTTAATCTGGCCATAGATGGGGCTGCAATTCGGTCTTCCCGTGAGGTCAGAAACCTGAGTGTCATCCTAGACGCCAGTTTGACATTTGAGGACCACGTACGGAATGTTACCAAAATGTCATCTTCAATTACGCAACATGCCTCGACTTAAGACTTCATGCTGAGAGGCTGGTGCATGTCCTCATTTCGTCAAGGTCGGATTACTGCGCGGTTCATTGCTTGTTGGCTTTTCTAAAAATGTCCTGAAAAAAAAAAGACTACAATATATTCAAAACTCAGCTGCCCGGATATTAACCGGCTCTAAATCGCGTGACCGTACTCCCGTCACTGGCTCCCTGCGAAGTAGAGAAACCACTTCAAGATTCTTCTTCTCACGTTTAAGGCCTTGAACGAGTCGGCTCCCAAATATCTCACCACCGATCCGCTTAACTTTAATATCCCGCTGCGAAAACTTTGATATCCGCCGATTCTGTTCTCAACTCATATATTCCAAATAACCATCTGTCGTTCTGTGCGAGACAGAGGCTTTGTGCAGCCAGGCTCTGCGATTGTGGAATTCCCTTCCTGGATCCATTGAGAAATCTGAGCCTGTGGCAATTTTTTTCGTCTCAAAACTCACCGGTTTTTGCACACAGGCTTTCTCCGCAACTTCGACTTCGTGCGAAGGGCTTTGAGGCCTTGTTACGATTTGTGCTGTCGGAAAACCGAGTTTGTTTTATATTTATATTCTTATGACAAGAGGGAGATGCGCAGACGGAGATGCGGATAGTACAGTACACACATTTTGCTAAAGTACAGTGCGCACATTTCGTATGCTCTTTACTTGATACAGCAATCGTGCTGTGACGGTTCCACCTGAAGACAGAAGCTTGTGTTGCCTCCGAAACGTCGTGATTTTTCATTTTACTTTTATTAATTTTAATGTTATTTTTTACCTACGTGACTTTACCGAAAAAACCTAAGAGTATGATGGTGGTGGTGATGGTGGTGGTGTTGTTAATAATAGCTGCCCGGAGGCCCAGCTGTAGAGCGAGCGGCTCGCAATCGGAAGGTCGTGAGTTCAAATCCAAGTTCGGGGGAGGGGTTGACTCAGCCCATCATCATCGCTCAGGGGTCGATAAGATAGCTACCACTTTGTGTGGAAGTTCAACGGTGGTTGTCCAACAGGAATGTGGCGTTTCCACGACTGCATCCTGGCCCGTGTGGGTGTGATGTGACTATCACACACCGGAGTCTCAGTGTCTCACCCTCAGGCCTCGTGTTGACTGTGCAGCAGCCTCGCGTGGCTATGCACACATCTCACTTTGTGACTGAGGGACCGCAGTCAAATCTGCCCTACAGTGTCATAGGCTTAGGGACTGCAGCCTTTATTTTTAAAAAATGACCATTCGAGCTGCAGTGCAATTTTTATTTATTTTTGAGTCCTTGTTTTTGGATTTGGCTTAGGAAATATTTTGGTTAAAGCCAGTTGTTCACACCAAATATTCAGTTTGGTTCATTTATCGGATTTTTTACAGCGCAAACACACACACACGCAGACAAAGCTCCCCTGTGTAGCCTTAAAAGACTGTTGGGGGAAGTATTGTGAGTGAGCAGCTATGAAGGCCGGCCCTGCCACATGAGGGGATGGGTGGCAAGCACCACGCCTGGCCGTCTTCGTCTCCCCAGTGGCGATGTTTACACACCGCACCAGGTACTCATTTGAGGCTGAGTCGTCCTAGGGGAGGCCCAGGACCGGTTCAGATAATCGTCACCGGTGTTGTCCGTGAGCACTAATCGAACTCGGGTCGCCGGGTTCATAGTGCAGTAAGCTAACCGCTCCACGACCACACACACACAAAGATCGCCCGTACAGCCTTATCAGACTGTTTGGGAAAATGCTGTTAGCGAGTAGCACCTATGAAGGCCGGCACGGCACACGAGGGGGAGGGTGTCCAGCACCACGCCCGGTCGCCTTTGTCTCCCCAGTGGCGATGTTTACACACTGCACCAGGTACTCATTTGAGGCTGAGTCGACCTAGGGGAGGCCCAGGACCGGTTCAGATAATCGTCACCGGTGTTGGCCGCGACCGGGAATCGAACTCGGGTAACCGGGTTCGTAGCGCAGCGCGCTAACCACCACACCACCGCTCCCCACCGCACACACCACACATACATACTCACATCACGCACACCTACCACACAACAAGACAAACCACGCACACCACACATCACACACATACACATCACACACACACGCACACACAGACCACACGCACACCTACCACACAACAAGACAAGCCACGCACACCACACATCACACACAGACCACACGCACACCACACACATCACACGCAGACCACACGCACACCACACACATCACACACAGACCACACGCACACCACACACATCACACGCAGACCACACGCACACCACACACATCACACACAGACCACACGCACACCACACACATCACACGCAGACCACACGCACACCACACACATCACACACAGACCACACGCACACCACACACATCACACGCAGACCACACGCACACCACACACATCACACACAGACCACACGCACACCACACACATCACACACAGACCACACGCACACCACACACATCACACACAGACCACACGCACACCACACACATCACACGCAGACCACACGCACACCACACACATCACACACAGACCACACGCACACCACACACATCACACACAGACCACACGCACACCACACACATCACACACAGACCACACGCACACCACACACATCACACACAGACCACACGCACACCACACACATCACACACAGACCACACGCACACCACACACATCACACACAGACCACATGCACACCACACACATCACACGCAGACCACACGCACACCACACACATCACACACAGACCACACGCACACCACACACATCACACACAGATCACACGCACACCACACATCACACACAGACCACACGCACACCACACACATCACACACAGACCACACGCACACCACACACATCACACACAGACCACACGCACACCACACACATCACACACAGACCACACGCACACCACACACATCACACACAGACCACACGCACACCTGGAAGGTGGCTGCGGGGAGGTTGGAGATGGCCACGTACTGCAGGTTGTTCTGCAAGGTGTAGATGACGGCGGGCACGCCCAGCTTGAGCGTGTCCGCGGGCTGCAGCACGATCGACTCGTAGAGGTAGCGCAGCCACTCGCACATGTTGCCTGCGCCATCGCGCGCACGTCACAGTATTAGCATCACTACTACTAATGACGCTCGTCGACCCGGGGAAGCCTCGCTGAATCTCCCCGAGTTTCCCCGCGTCTGCACCGCGTCTCCGCACCGTCTCCCTGCGTCCCCACCGCGTCCTCCCGCGCCTCCCCCCGAGTCTCCCTGCGCCTCCCCGTCTGTACCCACCCAGCCCAGCCCACCCCAGCCCCGCTCACCGCGATGCTGCAGCAGGAGCAGCACGAGGCAGGTGAGCATCTTGAGCAGCTCGGCGAGCACCACGGCCGTCGTGTAGAAGAACTTGTCACCGGGCAACGTGCGCACGTAGCGGATGCTGAGGATGAGCGACGCATTCTGCACCACCAGCACGGCCAGACTCACGTACTTGAGTCGTTCTTTGCCTGACCACAGTGGGGGGGGTGGGGGGGTGGAGGTGGGGGGCAAGGGGGGGGGGGGTGGGGGGGGGCAAGGGGGGGGGGTCGCCAACGCCACTGTCAACCAGCGCCAACCTCTAAGCGCACAGCCAGGCTCTTTGGCGGCCGGCATGCAAACACGGTGACGGACACCACCACCACCACCATCGTCCAACAGACTCAGCCACTGTTAACCACTCAGAGCACGCGCCTACTCGCACACGTACATGGCGATAATCCCACCACACTGACCGGACCTTACACCGAACCACACTAGCCAGCCAGCCAGAACCAACGCCTAAACCTAACCACGATAGCCATCCAGACTCTACCCCTAACCACGATCACCAACCAGGCCCTAACTTGAACCACACCAGCCAGCCAGACCCTACCCCTACCGTTAAGCAATTAGCCAGATAGCCACTAGCACTAGCCCTACCCTTAATCACTCACCAGGAAGCCACTCATCACCTAGCCCCACCTCCACGTTATTCATTTGGTTTTGTTCACGTTTCAAATTGAAAAAATATTTTTAAAAAGACGACGGTGTGACTCGCTAATGGCCAAACATGCCAATGCCAATTACTCGACTGGGATTACACGCAGCGGGCAACATCGCCACCCCTACTGCAAAAAACCTGACAGGATGAATACAAGTGTCGGGCGTTGTGAGCGCCTGGGTGAGGTGGGGACGAGTGGGGGCCCTGGGACCCACGGGATTCAGGGCCATTGTGCGTCCCGTGTAAGCGTCAGGTCCGGCCTCTGGTTTCACGAGATCCCACGACGAGATGACGCGCGGTTCCACGTACACAACGGCAAAACAAAGATCCCCCCCCTCCCCCGTATGGTCTTTACCAGGCTGTTGGGGTGAATGCTGTTGTAGCGAGCACCTATGAAGGCCGGCATGGCGCACCGATGAAGTGGTGGGTGGCCAACACCACGCCCGGCCACCTTTGTCTCTACAGTGCTGTTTACAGATCGCACCAGGTATGGATTTAAAGGCGAATTGCCCCAAGCGAGGTCCAGGGCCAGTTCAGGTATTGGTCATCGATGTTGGCTGCGAGCAGGGATTGAACTCGGGTTTCGAGGTCCGTAGCACCATGTGCCCCAACCACTGTGCCACTGCTCCCCACCAGCGTGTGTCCACAAAGATAGACAAAGATCCCCCGTATAGCCTTAACAGACTGTAGGGGCAAGTGCTGTTAGCGTAGCACCTATGAAGGCCGGAACGGCACACGAGGGGGTGGGTGGCCAGCACCACGCCCATCGAGTCACACCGTCGTCTTTTTTCTCCCTAGTAGCGATGCTTACACACCGCACCAGGTACTCATTTGAGGCTGAGTCGACCTAGGGGAGGCCCAGGACCGGTTCAGATAATCGTCACTGGTGTTCGCCGTGAACGTAAATCGAACCCGGATCGCCAGGTTCGTAGTGCAGCAAGCTAACCGCTACACTACCGCTCCCCACAAACACATGTTCACTACGCAATGTGCAGTCGTGTTACAACAAAATAGACTGGCGACGATCCATCACCAACGTCAGCCATGGCCCCGAGCCATCATCGCGAGTTGTTGTCTATCCAGTGCCGGAGGAAGACGTCCCTACAACGGCAGCGAACCCGTCTCGCGATCCGCGCGATGCAATGAAGCCTGCGCACGAGCCGATCTCGTAGCTCCGGCTCCTTGACGGATGTCGTCTCGGACGCGTTCCCTGCCCTGGCGTGAATCTTGACCATCGGCGAAAGTCCCACGGAGCCGCGATGTGTCCCGTCCAAGCCCCCCTCGCTTTCTTTAATAGTCTGGATGATCATTGGAACCTCATTTGCCAAAAAACATAACTCTGATAATGTATGCACTGTCCTTGAAGTTGATTGGTCCACACCCGAGACAGCTTTCCTTAGAGCCTAGTCTCACATGGGCTAGACCAGATGACGCCTTTTGGCGTCCAACACCATGTGAGACTAGGCTCTAAGGAAAGCTGTCTCGGGTGTGGACCAATCAACTTCAAGGACAGTGCACACATTATCAGAAATATGTTTTTTGTTTGCATTATGACTGCAGATAATGTGGTCTATGTAAACATGACTCCTTGTAAAAAAAGGTGTCAGTTTTGTTGCCAGATAGAAGGGTAAAAAACCAATTATCAGTCTGGATGATGTCGCGAACCAGCATCCGCTCTCTCATCCACGTGCTCCTCTTTCCGTCTCTCAGTGTAGCCCCACGCACGAGGCGCTTCGGAGCCTCTTTGCTCGCTTTGCAATTTATGTTGCCATTGTACAACAACCCCATCGCCAACCGCGGACTTGCCAACCGCTCGTTCACGTGCACACGGTTTATTTAGTTGTACACCGATTTACCAACCGCGGACCTGGCAATTTGAGTATCCACGGGTTAAGCGCGGGTCCGCAACACGAACTTACAAATTTCGCGGGGGCCACGGTTCTCCTCCGCGCCACACCGCCACCCGAGGCGCTGCGCAGCTTACCGCCTAACATCAGAACGCTCAAGCGGCCGGCGTTCATTTCATTTAGAGGCGCAGCGCCGCTGTGTTTTTAAAGACGTTGTCCTGTACTCACCGCAGAGAACCGCAGCGGCACGACCGCACTCTGTGAGAGCTGGCGCCAACCTGTGCCACACGCCGTCCCGCATGGCCTTGTGGGTGCCTTGATACGTCTTCCGACCTGAAGACGTACCGATAAAGTTATTTTATTTTTTCTTCCAATTCCGACAACGTGCTGCACACATACGCCTGTCCACTCGATCTGTTATTGATGAGCCGGAAGAAGAGGGGGAGGCTAGGCTGAGGTCCTCCTCCTTCTAACCGCCCCTTCCCCCATCATCATCGTCGTTAATATTAAAGGCATGTAAAGTTAATGTCATGTTTATGTTTGATTATGTCATTGTGTCATGCACTGTATTGTATCCGCGTTTGGTGAACCAACATGGCAAGTCAGTTGACCTATGACGAGTCTGACTGTGGCCGTGGTTCCTCTAACCCCTGATGTCCTAAAGGCCCCCCAGTATTTTATCAAGCACGGATTTGCCTACCCGCGACCTGTTCCAGGAACCTAACCCCCGATGGCAAATAACATTGATGACATCATCATCAATGTTATTTCCTCAATGGCGAGTGCTGTGAGCGGGCACCTATTAGACACCAATTATGGCAGCCTCGGCGACAGGCTGGGAAGGTGTTGCCTGGAACCACGCCCAGCCGTCTTTGTCTGCCCAGTACTGATGTTGACACACTGCACCAGCTGCTCATTTAAGGCCAAGTCGACCTAGGAGAGAGCCCGAAACTGGTTCAGGTTTCACTTGCTAGCGATGTCGGGCTGTATCCAGAAAGAAAAAAATCAGGTTTGCCGGGTTCGTCGAGCATTTCCTAACCACTGTGCCACCCCTCCCCAAACAACTATCCACACACGTACGCACACGATCACAGCAGCTCCCATTGATGTTGAACCAGCTTTCATCCTGTACTTATCGTATTAAAGCGCACACTCTCTCTCTCACCTTTGCACAATCATCTGTGCACACACGTTAACTTTAAAGGCAGTGATATATTTAAACAGAACGACCCACCTTTACGGAAGTATGTATGTTCAACTTCTTTTGCACCTTAAGTCGCCAACCGTGCTAATCGCCGATTGTGTCATTTTACACCAAGATGTCATCATAGCCAAAGCCATGAAAGCATTTTATTCCTGACACACTGGCAGAGACACACGCACTGACAGTCCACCAACCGTGGTGTAAGCGAGCCTGGCTCTGCTGATGAGACGTTGAAAGTCGAAACCGGTCCAGTTTGCTCGTAATAATTCAATGCAACTGAACTGGAAAAATATCGCTCCCAGAAGGCCATGCAGCTGATGGGATGTGGAAAATGACACACAGATACGCACATGAAGAATGACTCGGACAGACACAAAACCAGACACACAGATACACACAAAGACAGTGAACAAAAATGTCAGACACCTCGACGAGACAGGCACACATACATCGTGACAGGGAGACGCACACACACACGGACACACACATATATAACCCACGAAGACAAAGCTGCCATCATAGGTGCTAGCAAACGCGCAAAAGCGCACGTAAAGTGTCACACGAAAGAGTGAAACTACTCACGAAGGTTAACTTGTATTGTTGTTCATAAAGACAACAGCTGAAATCTGCACTTCGTAAAATCAAGTTGAGAGCAATAAGATGAGTTGCCACGTCACGGACAAGACCAAGATGAAGATGCCTCGTGTCGGGAAAAGTGCTGTGAGCGAGCATCTATGAAGGCCGAAAGCTTGTGCCAAATGTCAAAAAGGTTACTCAGACCTCCGGTCAAACACACACCATACACCCCGCATGCACACGCACGCACGCACGCACCGCTCACACACCACCAAAATCCGCCATTCTCCACTCAGTGGCGGTGACGTTACCGCGGCGCTTGTGCCAGGCTAGGTGCACCCCGAGGACACGTGAAGTGTCGAAGGCTCGCCGCTAGGTCACGAAGAGTGGCGCAGTGACCTGCCGGGGGGTGCGGCCATTGGTCAGGTGGGGTCGCAACACTGTCGAAACCACCTCTCACGGTGGTAGTTGTAGCTTTGGCCATCACGGGGGGGGCAAGGGACCCTCTGCCCCCAAGGGACCCCCTGCCTCCACGCTAGTTACGGTACTCGTCACGGGACAGGTTCCATGGGTTGACTGTGCACCCCCGCCCCCCCCCCTACTGTGTCAACTTGCCGCGTTTTAGCCGCCCGGGCGCTCCGCTCGTTGTTGTGAGCGTCGCAACAGGACGACTCTATCTCGAGGGGGCAACTTTAGCCAGCACCTGGAATAGGAGGTCATAGAAGGCATCTGCCTCAAAGGGCCTTGCCTTCATCCCCTTCCACTGACGTGCACATCTTCGTTGGGGGGGGGGGGGCGTATGCGAGCCCCACAGCACGACTCGCGGCTTCACACGCCTCGCCTCCACGCTCCGATAACCCCCCTTTTGTCGTGTTTTCAACAGCAATGCCGCTCCCTGTTTTGTTTGGCAGTTCGCTGCCACGTAGCGAAGAAGGACCGGCCACCCCTTCATGGCCGACTGGAGCCACAAACCGGCCCACCGCACCGCCACGTACTCCACAGAGGTCCTGGGAAGAACGGGGAATGACAACAGCCTTTCCGCCACAGGAAGCGTTGGGACATTCCACGTGGCCGACCTGCAGTGGTTTTCTGGAGGAAGCCCGTGAGGGAAAGGGGGGGGTTCAATCCGTCTCCACGACGTGGGGTTTTGGCCAGAAGGGCATCAAACCACGCCGGTCCCCCTGGGGCCTCCAGCAACAAGGGCGATTGGGTGTTTCCACCGTGATATATGGTAGAAGCAGTACTAGTACTTTGGTAGAAACAGTACTAGTACTTTAGTAGAAACAAAGACGAAGATCCCCCCGTGTAGCCTTAACAGTTAGCGAGCACCTATGAAGGCCCGGAACGGCACACGAGCCGGTGAGTCGCCAGCACCACGCCCGGCCGCCTTTGTCTCCCAGACAATACACAACAACAACAATGCCCGCCGTTCGCCACTAAGTGGCGGTGACCTCACCACGGCGCCTGTGCCAGGCCAGGTGCACTTTGAGGCCATCACGTGAAGTGTCGAAGGCTCGCTGCTGACAGCAGGTCACGGGACAGACCCAGCAGGTGTCATGGGTTGACCGATTTGAGACGACTGGCAGACATACAACACCCACTGCCTCACACTCACCCAGGGTTGCGATTTCCGCATGGAAAATGCGGAAGGAGGGTTCAAATTTTCCCGCATTTTTGCTAAAGTCAACCGCAAACAGTGGAAAGACTACTCCTATGACCGCGCGCTTTTAACAACACGTTAATGCGTTCAATTGGAAAGGATACATGCAAGGCCCAGCATCACGTAGGGCTTTGAGTTACTGATTGGAATGAATATATGATTTCCGCATTTCCGCACAAGAACCACATACTTTATTCAAATGCGGAGCCGTGATTACGAGCACATGTACATGATGTATCCTTTCCAATATAACGCATTAACGTGTTGTTAAAAGCGCGCGGTCATAGGAGTAGTCTTTCCACCGTTTGCGGTTGACTTTAGCAAAAATGCGGGAAAATTTGAACCCTCCTTCCGCATTTTCCATGCGGAAATCGCAACCCTGCACTCACCTGAGCCTCACCACACTCACCCCACCCACTCACCCCCAGGCACACCCCACAGCGCCCACCTTAACACCACGTCCCACACACCCAGACTGGCACCGTCATAGCTGCCAAACCAATACGGTTTATACCCCGTATTCTTGTACAGAGAAAATTGAGTTTTTAGGTCCATACGGTGTACAGCCGTTTCAATGCGGGCAAAAAAAATCACGTCTGTTTGTGTTTCTCCCTTATGGTCGGACTTTGTAGGATGAACGTTGAGATTTATAAGGGGCAATAAGCTCTGAATTGGTCTGCAATAAGGTAGGCAGCACTGATAAGGGGTTGACAGGTATTATTATAGATAAAGACCCCTAGAGATCCATAGAGACCCACAGAGATACATAGAGACCCATAGAGATAGCTAGATATAGCATAGATGTCAACCCATACGGTTTACCCCATATTCTTGTACAGGGAAATTTAGTTCAGGTCCATACAGCGTACGGCCGTTTCAATACTTGGGCAAAGAATGCATTGTCTGTGTTTCTCCCTTGTGATGGGGCTTTGCAGGATGCACGTAGAGATTTGTAAAGGGCACGGGGTGACCAATGAGGTCTGAATTGGCCTGCAGTAAGGTAGGCAGCACTGCGATGTGAACAAATCAGTGTTGACAGGCGTGCACCATGCACCACAAACACCACCACCACTAGTTCAAGTTAACTTATTAGGTATAGCCCTGAGCCATTCAGCTCTTGAATCGGGTGCAACCGCAACAAACAAAAACATGAACAAGAAAACATCTTAAAGTGACTATGTGCAAACAGAAAATCCAAGAAAAGACAGCAAAATGTTGCAGAAAAAGCACCGTACACCAACGCTGTGTACACAAATCCCAGTGGGATGCAAGTCAAACAACAACAACCACAAGACAACTTAGACTAAGGCCATCATTCTAACTCCGTACTACAACAAACATGGCCTAATCAAAAAACTTTTCGAAATCACCAAAATAAAGCCATGAATTCTAGATTTGAAGCTTTCGTGACTGCAAGGATTCATACTCTTAGGTTTTTTTGGGTAAAGTCACGTAGGTAAAAATAAATAATAAAATTTTAAGAAATAATATAAATACAATTATAAATCACGACGTTTCGGAGGCAACACAAGTCTCCGTCATCAGGTGGGACCGTCACAGCCAAAATAACTATCATGGCTCATAAAGCCATGAAAGCGATGAAACAGTGATCATAGGAACTGTGACCGAATTTTCACTAAAATCACTTCAAAGCCATCGTAACTCTACAGGACTCAATTCTAGATTTGAAGCTTTCGTGACTGCAAGGATTCATATTCTTAGGTTTTTTCGGTAAAGTCACGTAGGTAAAAAAAATTAATGACAGTAAAATAAAAACTCTGATAGGTGGAATTCCTCCCCGCAGAGGGTATTAATTCTAGATTTGAAGCTTTCGTGACTACAGGACTTCCAATATTTCACAAAATGACCCCCCCCACACACACACTGCCGCTACTGGATTATAAAGACGCAGTCTTCCTCCTCCTCCCTAAAGTCTTGCCTCTATACACAAGAGGGGCGCGTTAAGGGTTGTCGTCTTCTTCTTGATTCTTTCGGTAAAGTCACGTAGAAGGGAAATAATAAAATAATAAAAATTAAACATAATACAATACAATTCTCACGACGTTTCGGCCAAAACGCATTTTATGATGTTTTATTTTATTATGTATTTAATGTTTTATTATTTTATTATTTCCCTTCTACGTGACTTTACCGAAAGAACCAAGAAGATGAATCCCTGCAGTCACGAAAGCTTCAAATCGAGGTTTGTCATCTTATAAGTCGAAGGGACACCCGGGAGACGAATCGATTTCGATCGATTCCTACTGGCGCGTAATCGATACAAGACGTCGACGGCTCACGTAGAGAATCGTCAAAAGTAAAACCGGCCACTATCGATTCCACCATTGGCCACGGTGAGCTACCATCGATTCCCGGAATCGAATCGATCTTTCACCATTGCCGTGAATGAAGCATCGATCTCGGCGAGTTACAAAAAAAAAGATCGAATCCTTAACACCAACAACCACCGCCGCCAAACCGCCGGCAATCAACGTTCTCAACTCCGTGACGCCAAATCAACGCGAGGCACCGCCGCTGACACCTCGGGGCATGAAGGGGTTAGTGGGGGGGAGGTTAGTTTGTGACTCTGCGCTCACGTTTTCCGTCGTGAGCCCCGGCCTCCTCCGCGCCCGCCATAGCTCCGACTCCTCCGCGAAGCCGCTTCACAATTTTTTGTCACCGGCGGCGGATGTAGACAAACTCTCACATTGACCACGCCCCCCGACCGCCTCTCGCCCCGCCCCCATCCGCCTCTCGCCACGCCCCCCGGGCGTCGCGCGCCACCCTAGCACAGCGCCGATTGGTTGCGGAGCGCGCGCGCGGAGGGAGGGGGGGGGTGCTGGGGTGGGGGGTGGAGCCTAGACCGAGCCTCTGACCAATCACGAGGCGGCACCGCTCCTGACTCCACGTCCACGCTTCTACCGTAAAGACCCCCCCCTCACTCCCCCCAGCGGCATCGTCAACAGCAAGTCAGGGCCGATCCACTGCTGGATGAACAACTTTTCAACTTTTCTTTCATTTCCCGTCCACATGTCACCCACCTTTACCCACCCACCTACCCCCCCACTCCGGATCATGTCGATGCAACAGCTCCCCCCACGCGAGCTCGTTTCGTCGCTCCATCTCCTGCGGATTTTTTGCGTTCCAATTCCGATACTCCAATTGATTATCGACGCAATTTCGTTTAAGAAAATAGTATTTTTTCGCTGAACGATTTTATTTTAAATTTTTAACTTCAGTTGATTAACTTTCGCAACGCATCGGATTTGCGTTCCAATTCCGATACTCCAGTTGGATAATCGTTGATTTTTTTTCGCTAACCGATTTAGTTTCTTTCATTTTTTTTTTACGTTGATTAACTTTCGCCATGTATCGCCATGTTAAACGTCACGGGGCAATGTGACATTGTTTTAGTATTCTTGGTTCTTTCGGTAAAGTCACGTAGAAGGGAAATTTGAAAAAAGTTAAAATTAGAAAAAGTAAAATTTTTCTTGCTGTGGATTTCACACCTGATGATGATTGCTTGTGTTGCAGTCGAAACGTCGTGAGAATTTGTATTGTTTTATATTTTTATTATTTTATTACTTCCCTTCTACGCGACTTTACCGAAAGAACCAATAATATGAATCCCTGCAGTCACGAAAGCTTTAAATAAAAAAAAAGTGTTTTTAGTGTTCAATGAACTCGGGGTGCGCGTATCGCAATGCGCGGCTATGTGGCGCAGTTCGGCCGAGTGGTTGTTGTTGTTGTGTCGACAAATGCAATTAGCGCGGTGATAATTAACGAGGTGCCCATCAAAACCTTTAGAACAACAACTGTCATGACCACCGCTTGCCCCGCGCGCTCTCCAATAGGTGGCGATACAGACCGCCTGTTCGTCTGTCATCACCGGCGAAATCAGACAGACAACGCTGCGTGTTTACACGGCAGGCAAGCAGGTCTCTTCTCCTATAAGGGGCCGTCCATAAATGACGTCACGCGATCTTGGACGATTTTTGACCCCCCCTCCCATCGTCACACGGCGTCACAAAAAGTCAGACCCCCCCTCCTTAAATATGACGCCACAAAGCTCTGCCCCCCCCCCAAAAAAAATCAAACATGCTTCAAATCGCTTTAAACTATTGTCACTGCAGTGCGTATTTAATGTGGCGCTGCACTCTGATGTTGTAGGAAAAAAGATTTCTTAAGAAGTCTATTTAATTAAGTAGAACGTGTTGTCTGTATTTATTTAAGTTGCGCATTTTGATGCGACGTCACATTTCTCAAACACCCCCTCCCCTCGTCACACATCGTCACAAATGTCTGACCCCCCCCCCCCAGGTGCGTGAAGTCATTTATGGACGGCCCCTTGTGTGTTTTTAATTTGTTTTTGGCAAACAAATAAATAACTGCAGACGTTTCGCCTCATTGTTTGTATTTGTTGTTGAGTTTTCTTTCTTGTGATTATTATTCGTTGTGAGTATTATTTGTTGTGAGCATTGTTCACTGTGAGTATTGTTCGTTGTGAACATTGTTCACTGTGAGTATTCTTTGTTGTGAGCATTGTTCGTTGCATTGTTTGTTGTGAGTATTGTTCGTTGTGAGTATTGTTCACTGTGAGTATTGTTCACTGTGAGTATTGTTCACTGTGAGTATTGTTCTGCTGCGCGTTACACAATTCCCCGTCGACCCAGGGCCCGTGTCCAGCAGCGAGGCTCCATACCGGCGAGCACGTGACCGCCTCAGGAGTACCACGTGACCGCCTCAGCAGCACCACGTGACCGCCTCGGCACCACGTGACCGCCTCAGCAGCACCACGTGACCGCCTCGGCACGTGGCCGCCCGGTCGAGTTGTGGAGTCGCTCCCGCTGGGCGAGGTGCTCCTCGCCGTCGCTCCGCGGAGACCCTCCGCTCGCGCACCGCGTGCCCTTCGGCACGGCGTCCGACGTTTCGCGGCGCTCCGCGAGCCTTTTCGGGGGATTCAATCGACGGAAGACGCTCCCAGAGGGGGGGGGGGCACGTGGCGCGACATGTCGAGGACATCGTCGATGACCATTTGTGACTCCGCACGGCGCGTTCGCGTGACCATTTCCGGCCACTAGGGGCCGCTACATCCACGACGATGTTCAGCACGTGGCTCGGGACATCATCACGATCATCTCGACTCCACCTCCACCAACCTCCAGTACAGAGGTCGCAACCGGGTACCCGATACCCGTACCCTACCCGATACCCGGCCAGGTACGGGTACGGGTACCCGTTTGCGACCCTGGTGCGGCCGGGTACGGGTACGGGTAAGGAATCAAAACCCGTTTGCGACCTCTGCTCCAGCATCACCACCACCGTTAGCAGCAGCACCACCATCAATAATCATCGCCATTCCCACCACCATAACGATCGCCCGTGTAGCCTTAACAGACTGTCGGGGCAAGTGCTGTTACCTATGAAGGCCGGCACGGCACACGAGGCGGTGGGTGGCCAGCACCACGCCCGGCCGCCTTTGTCTCCCCAGTGGCGATGTTTACGCACCGCACCAGGTACTCATTCGAGGCTGAGTCGACCGGCCCGGGACCGGTTCAGGAAATTATTACCGGTGTGAACAGGAATCGAACTCGAATCGCCGGGTTCGTAGTGGAACGCGCTAACCACTGCACTACCGCTCACCACCTCCACCACCATCACCACCTCCACCACCATCACCACCATCACCACCACCATCACCACCTCCTCCATCACCACCTCCACCACCACCTCCATCACCACCTCCACCATCACCACCTCCACCACCATCACCACCTCCACCATCACCACCTCCACCACCATCACCACTTCCTCCACCTCCACCATCACCACCTCCACCACCATCACCACCTCCACCATCACCACCTCCACCATCACCACCTCCACCACCATCACCACCTCCTCCATCACCACCTCCACCATCACCACCTCCACCACCATCACCACCTCCACCACCATCACCACCACCATCACCACCTCCACCATCAACACCTCCATCACCACCTCCTCCATCACCACCTCCACCATCACCACCACCACCACCTCCACCATCATCACCTCCACCACCACCACTTCCACCATTGCTTACAAAATCACCACCACTAGCATCACCACCACCATCACCACTAGAATCTCCACCATCACCACCTCCTCCACCACCACCATTACCACCGCTAGCATCACCACCTCCACAATTAGCGCCACTAAAATCAACAACAACAACAACCGCCATTCGCCACTAAGTGGCGGTGACGTCACCACGACGCTCGTGCCAGGCTATGTGCACTTTAAGGCCACGTGAAGTGTCGAAGGCTCGCTGGCAGGAGGTCACAGGACAGACCCAGCAGGTGCCATGGGTTGACTGACTGAGATAGCAGGCAGATGCACCACCACCTGTGCTCCCCACTGTGTTTCAAACCGGCGCCAATGTTTCTTTAAAGGTGTCTACATTTCACACGCGTATAGAGAAGGGAGGGCGTAACTGGTCTGTCGCTTCGACAGACCAGATGGCTTCCACACAGTGACATGCATAATGTCATGGGTAATGCCGCCTGATTTGGAGTGAGACCTCTGCTGCCAACACGGAGCCGATCATAAGCTCACTGCTCAGGTATGGGAACTACTCCCCTCTCTTCGCTCATGGGGGAGTTTAGGAGGTGGAGTGTTTGATGAAATAAAATACCTAGGCAGGTAATTTGTTTTCGTGGGGCTAATGGTTAGGCCCCACCTCTTAGTGGCACGCTCCAGGTTCAGCAGCAGAGTCTCTAAAACCTTCTCCGTGTGAGCAGCAATCACCAGATCATCAGAATGCATAATATGGTTGACCAATAGCGAGCCATCCCTTGACCGCACCCGGGCATCGATCAGCCTCCCATCGTATCTCTACCAAATGGAAATTACTCTGGTAGAGCCATGGAATGCTTCTTGAACTCCATGGTCAAAGAAGATGTTACGTAATAACATGGACATCCGGTGGACATCCTTGTCGCACCCCAAGGTGAACAGGGGATGGCTCTGACTCCCGGCCATGCAGCTTTACCCAGGCCTACCCACCATCATGAAGGTCCTTCATGATTGTGAGCAGACGGTCAGGGACTTCAAAAGCATGAAGAACAACCCAGAGCCCTGGCCTATTCATGGCATCACAAGACTTGAGCAGATCAATAAAGAAATCCCCTACACCTCCGCTGCAGCAGACGGATAGAGGAGAGCATGGCGTCTGTGCAGGACCACCTTGACCAGAAACGACATTGTGGCTCCGCAGAGCCTCTCCCGGGCGTGTCTGGCAGGGCGATGGGGAATCGTCTTTGCCGGGACCTTCACCGGCTTCACACCGAGGAGGGAGCTGCCTCCCTGCGGTCGTTGCGTTCAGCGTGAGGTCATCCTTGCAATCCTGCGAAGTCTGCGCTGTGGTCCAGGCAGCTGTAATGATGCCACAACAGGGCAGTCTGCACACAAAATCGTCAACCCCCGCCGCCCCCCACCACCGTCAGAAATTCGCTTGAGAGGTCATCATCTCTGCCCGGCGCTTTTCCAGGTCTCAGACTCTGCATCGCCCCTTTGTTCCTCCACAGCAGATGGCAACGTCAGCCATTCACTCGCGGGCCGGCGGGGGGGGGAGCGATGATAGTTCCTGCAATATTTGAGGAAGTGGAGCCCCAGTAGGGTCAACTCCACATTGCCCCATGCTGTGATTTGAAC